TCATCATGAAACTAATCGTCTTCCTCCTTTCTTTGAAATATTTCCACACTTTATTCTATAAAGAAGAAGAATGCCAAAACCTTTTTGTCATAAAAATATATCTACCCCTTTCAATTATAGTTCGCACTCAGGCATTTTGTAGCGTACCTATTACATTAAACATTTGAGAGAAAATCACAAACCACTATTCAACAAATCTCACTGTAGAGAAATACCTAGTCAACAGTTTGACAATAATATTTATTCAAATGTAGTACCTAGTAGTAGCAACAGTGCGAATAATAACAATATAGAAATTAATGGTGCGAGAAGTGTTGATAGTGTAGTTCTAAATCAAAGCGTAACATCGAATCAGAGTTTCCAGAGTTTAGATGAAAGTGCATCTGATTTAGATGATTCAAATACCATCGAAGGTGAGCCTACAGATAAAATAAATTCGACTGGTTACCTCTTGCGTTACTTTTTCTTGCAGAGGTTACCTTACCTTACATTTTTTCTAAAATACCAATGTGTTTTTTCTCCCAGTTTGAAGTATGAATTCAATTAAAAACAGAAATTTTCAAGAAACAATAATATGTTACAAACTTACAATGGTAAAGTTCTGACCTGCATATAGTTACTTTATATACAACACAACAGATTTGTAAAACATGTAGCCTCTTTAGCTCAGTGGCAGAGCACTGGTCTTGTAAACCAGGGGTCGTGAGTTCAATCCTCACAGGAGGCATCCTAGCGGAAAAACTTTTTTTTCGTTGTTTAGCGGAAAAAATATACTGAAAAATACTATACGATATGAATACGATATGAAATTTTCCAGGAAATCAGAATTTAGTGTTCTCTGCACTGATGATAATTATATCAATTGGTCCGATAAATTATTACAGCTTGGCAAATCTAGCTCTGCCTCTGAGATGCGAGAATGATAAAGAAAGATGGCAGCTGTCCAATACCAACTTAATCAGGATAAGTACAATGGGGAGAAGAATTTTGGCTTAAATTAATTCGGCAAGAGTTGACAACTACTCATATACCAATAGGGAAGAGTAACACCAACTCTTCCTTTCGTACAGGTAAAAAATAATTGAAAGATAATGAGTGATATGTACCTAATTGCAAATGATAGATACTTACATTCTCATTAGAGACAATGGAATTAGGATAAACTTACAACCGATATTTGATAGATATTATTTGAATGCATAGTTACCAGAAATGACTATCAAACGTATCAGATAGATAATCTACAAAACATTTATGGCAATAATAATAACATACCACCATATACATAAATACAATTCGCACCCCTACGAACAACAACCCTCAGAAGTCGAAAGTTGTGCGAGCTAAGGATTAACGAAGTCTTGCCTTTTAACGTGTGATTCCCAACACGAGTTGGACAATAGCAAATGAAAATCGACCATTCAGACTAGGGCTTGAACCACCGACCAACAATTGTCAATTGTCAATTCGAGTGAGTGAACAAAGCATCCACGTCGAACCGCTTAGCTACAATTTATCATCTACTGTGGATACCTGGTTTTCCTCTGAAACGTCATCTCCATATTCCTATTCCAATCATATAAATCGATAATCAGATCATCCAAAGATATTTCCATTGTTCGGAAGAAAACTGTTCAAAAAAATCATCGCAATATTGCGTGACATCGTTGAAATTGAAAGTAACAGTTGTATTTGCCACATAATCTTTCAGTCTGGCCTGAACCAACTCAATTGTATTCAAATCCGGGTGATATGACGGTAATAGTAAAACGTTGTGATGTGCTGTTAGAAAGAGCTCAGTTATTTCATACCACTTGAGTTTTGACTTTTAGTTGTTCATGAGGAAATGTTTCAGCATGTTTCTTCGAAATAGAATATTCCTCTCGGATACCACGATTGCATATAGGCTTTTTTAGTCGATGTCGTTGGCATTTCCTCGATTTGTTAGTTATAATATGGTGCATTATCGATCACCACAACGATTCTCAACGGCAATACCGGAATCAACAGTTCCGAAACCCTATTCTGACTATTATCAATATTCATATCGTTGTAATAATCACCTGTATACATACAACTGTGAAAAATCTTCTGATATTTTTTTTATCTGTCTGTTTTTAAAATCTGTTTTTCCGTTAATCAGCTGCCGCCCCCATACGAACGACAACTCTCAGAAGTTGAGAAACTTGTGCGAGCTAAGGACTAACGAGGTCTTACCTTTTAACGTGTGATTCCTAACATCATATCATACAACAACATTGAATGTTTTGAATGAATAGGTACTACATTTTTCACTTTTTAACCGACTCAAAATATGTCTTTGAACAGGTACCTGAAAATATGATTTATTATTTCGCTGCTTGAGAAAATAGACTATACAAATTATATAGTCTATGTTTCCCTGTACTGGTATATTTTCAATTTCACTTGCTATGTGATTTTTCCGGTGCCTCTCCCACGCATATTTCCACGTGCATTGCATAGTGAGCAATGTACTCGTATTTGACACAGATTCTGTCCCAGAACAAGAAAATGAAACAGACTAGCGTTTTCTATCAACAACAAATGAAAGTTTCGATCTCCATATCTTAAATTTTGAAGAAAGCATTGACATCATTGACATTTTTCAAATTGCTCTTCCCATTTTCTACATAACTGGGAAGATATTTTCCCCACTCCGAGTAATTAATTGTCAACTTAACTACTTGTAGGGTGCATTGCTACTATGTATTGGGTTGATGTCATCGACATTTTATACATTTTCTCATGTTAACAGCCTACTCTTACCTAAATATGCACCAAATTCCTGGACATGAATTATATAACTCAATAGAATTATAATTAGAATAATAAACGAGTCGAAAATTGAAACAGTATGTGGGTAGCATACAAATTAACAACTTTATGAATACAATCTATTATATTCATAGCTTATGTTTTCGAGTTATGATTGATTTGACATTGAAAAAAAATTCTCCAGAACAAAGCCAATTTTGGTGTTGGTTTTCATCTAGAAATACCTTGACTAATGAAAGCTGGATGACTGAAGTTCTGTGTACGAATTGGTTGAATGAACGAAAATTTGATCACTGTATTTTGTTGAAAATACTCATAGAATTTATAGAATCATGCATTGAATGTTTTCCTAGAAGATGCACAGATGTGGAATCTGAATGTAGCAAATGATAGAATTGAACGAGGAAGTCAGAAAATTTAGTAAAAAAATTCATGAGCGGAGATGTTGCTTATTCTCGTAAGGTCAAATAATATGAATTATGAAAAGTTAGAACCACCGGGATTGCCAGCGATTTATTCACATTCTCTGAATAAGCAACTCTTTACTTTCCTTTTCCGATATTTTTGGCGTTAGCATTCATAAACTATTATTACTCAAAATAGGTAGACGCTACAGTTTTGTTATGTACAGTTGTACAGTTTTATACAGTTGGTACGCCAAAAAAATAGCTTATCAAGAAGGGTGCTAATCATATTACTTTATTTTTGAGATCTCACATAATAATGAAAATTATGATAATAATAATGATTTTTGGAGTACTTGGTGGAATGATGTCCTCTCTACTTTTGAATCTCGAAATCATTCCAGCTTGCCGCACTGAAGCAGAAATCTTAGCCGGACATATATGCAGAAGGCTGTCATTCTTGGCTCACTGCGCTTGCTCGGGGCACATGATTCTCGGACCCAATGATCACTCATGGTCGTTGGTTGATAATGCTGGCGCGCCCTCCCGAATACATCGGGGCTTCAAAGGATAGGACCTGGCCAGTGCAAACATCGGTGAAAAAATAATGATAATAATGAAAGTCTTCTAATTTTCAGTTTTATTCATATATATAAACTAAATATGTTCTTTCACCTAATCCGATACAGACCACTAAATGTCAAGTCAGAACAAACACAAACAAAATTTATTATTGATAAATGAACTTACGTTACAAGGAATATAAACATTGCTATCACTAAATTAATAAATCTCATATCAAATTAGAGGTAAAGACTAGTCAAGGAAGATTTTTTCAACATAGTTAATGCTGAATTAATAATTCACAGATCGTACTGGAGATGAAGAGGTAGATTTTTTTTATTTTCAGAAAAAAATTAACAATAAAACTCATAAATAAAATTAGAACTTACTATCTATCGAGAAATATAATGATACGCGTCCGGAAAGTCGATAACAAGAGTTCTTTCAATTCTGGTGGTAATTTTATTCATACATTTGACAATGTGATAAGATTGTGATCTTCTGCAAAATTTTGTGTGAAACATTAGAGGAGTAAACAAACTGTTTTGTCGTTAGTATGTACATTAGAGCGAAATGTTATCTTATTGTACAAATAGAAAGGGTTTTGGTATTTTAAAACTTTGTGAAAGAAGCAAGCAGAATGGAGGAACCTCTCATCATAGCATAGCTACCAGAATTAATTGAAAACACTTCTCCAACACCAGAACAAAAATGACGGTCTCTCAACGCGCGTTTCGCTAACCAAGTGAACGTCCTTAGGAGATCATCATTATCATTATGATCGAGAGACCGTAATTTTTGTTCTGGTATTGGGAAAGTGTTTTTCAATAGATTAATTTCACGCCAGAGGTTACAGTACGAACTATCATAGCTACCAGAATCGAAATTAAATCGGAACTGAGTGATTAGTCTCTTATGTGTTGTATAAATTCAAATTATTTCTTGTGGTGCACTGTTTGGAACCTTTGGTGTAGTAATGAATATTACTGGAGGTTTTTCCGACACCAAACCGTCATTTTAACACCTCGACGCGTGTTTCGATCACTATGTGATCATCTTCAAGAGGCAGATCAAACCAAGTTTGAAAAAACTCCAGTAATATTCAAATCATTCAATTTCATCATGGAAAATAATCTTATGCACCTCCCTCGACCTACTACAAAAAAATGTATCATATAGATTTGTCAAGTAGTCAATAAATCTATCTATGTATCTAAATGATAAACCGTTTTTCAGGTTCTCTGCATCTACCCCTACCTGATTCACCCGTGGCCTGTGTCTGGTATAGCTTTATGGTTAGGACTGATACAAGACCTCTTGATTCCTATAGGCTTGGGAATAGTTGACTCTAGATTTTGCAAATGGGTTTCCAGTGTATACAGATGTTCGGGGAATAGTGTCGAAGAAAAACTACCACATGGTAAGACAGGATAAAACCACATCACTTCATTCGTGATGGAATATTTTTCTAGTACCCCCTGTATAGTTTGAAACAATAAATGATGATTTGACTAATAGAGACAAATCACTCGGAATACCTATAAACTAATCAGAAACGGTATCATTTCCATATTTTGACAATTTTATTTTGATATTAACGATACTTTCTCAATAGTTTTTTCTATACAGGGATAATTTCAGATGGTTATGATTTGACTTATTCTATGAAAAAAAGTGTGTCCTGATTTGCTTCTTTTATTAATAATTCACAATTAATTTCGCCGATTTTGAATAAACTGCGTGTTTTTGTTATAAGTAATAAGAGGCTTATTTTCATGGAATTACATTTGGAATTTTAGTTCGAGTGGCGCCGCAGAGCGTTACTTAATTTATATTTATTGTAAAAATCATTGTGCGCTACTGTTTCCGCTGAGATTGATATTATTTGAAATAGTCTGGTTCACATGTACTCGATTTAGTTTTTTTTTGTGACATTTTTCAGCCCTGTCCTNAGTAAAAATAAAACAATTTAACAAAAAATTATACAAAATGAAACTAAAGAAAGTTAAGAGATTTCAAGCCAAGTAAGTTCACGACGTTTCGATTGTTAGTATCCTTCGGGTGATGACTGGACTGATTCCTCCGAGAGATGACTACTTTCACTTATCCCCGCTTTCCATTTTTTCCGCTTCACTGGTTCAGTGGGAGATGACTGTTTGGCGGGAGTTGGCCATTTTTCGGTTGATGATGGGTTTCCATATGTTGCATATTTCTACGCTGGCTTGGCTAAATATGTTGTTGGGCAACATGTATGCGGCTTACTTGAATTTTCTCCTAAACCAATTTTCCTCTCTTTGTAAGATCTCAGCTGAAAGAGAGAACGAATCTACCTATAGAAGTAATTATGGAATTACTAGGATGCTGTGTACGAAACTGTTATTTCCAACTGAAGGACGAATTCTTTACACAAGATGAGGGACTGCCAATGGGATCGCCACTTTCACCAGACATAGCCAACATATATATATGGAGTGGTTTGAAACTCTGGCCATTGAAGAAGCCCACAAGAAACCTCGAGTCTGGTTGAGATATGTTGACGACACCTTCATAATATGGAACCATGGAAATAATGAACTAGCCGCCTTCCTGAAACACATCAACAGCGTGAGACCTTCCGTCACTTTCATAATGGAAAAGGAAATCCATAACGAATTGCCAACTTCCGCCAAACGGTTATCTCCCACTGAACCAGTGAAGCGGATAAAATGGAAAGCGGGGATAAGTGAAAGTACTCGAACGACCCATAAATAGTCATCTCTCGGAGGAATTAGTCCAGTCATCACCTGAAGACGATTGTGGATACTAACTATCGAAACGTCGTGAACTAACTTGGCTTGAAATCTCTCAACTTTTCATTTTTATCTTTATTTTCATTTTGTATCTCTGTATTTTTATTTTTTTGTTCAATTGTTTTGTTTTTACTTGTATTTCATTCTTATTCTTCTTTTTTAGTTGTTTCAGGGATTACAAATCATTTTATATATTAGACAATGTCCGAACTAGTGAAAAACTATATTGATTTGCAATATGTATTGGCATGTATACTGCTTCCTTATGAAATTATTTATCATAGAACCTGATGATGAATTTAATAAAGTCCGAAACGATGGCAAAAACAAAATTGTTCATCTAAGAAGAATTTTGATCCCTTTCCCAACTAATAAGCACTTGAAAAAGAATCTTTTATACAAATGTACTAAAAAACAAAAACTAATTTCTTTCATTGTTTTATCTAGGATTCTCTGTGAGTAAAAGGCTTGCCGTGGATACAAAATAGGTGATCTTAAACAGAAAGATTTTGAATATGTAACAGAATAACCTAGATCAAACAATTAAAGAAATTATTTTTTCAGTTTGGTGCATTCGTGTAAAAGCTTGTCTTCAAATACGTTTTTATTCCATCATTCGTTCAATCCGATGAAAATATTAAACTTGAAGAAAAGTAGTGACGAACAATGATGTTTACTATAAATATCAATTAAGCAACCGTTTGTGACGCCACTGGAATTACTATCCGTAATCTAATTTCATGGAACGAAGCCGCTTGTTTTCTGCCAACAAACACACTTAGTTTTTTGAAATCGGCTTAAAGACTCTTGAGTTATTGATAAAAGAACAATATTGTTAGTAAAACAAATTTTACACCCTGTTACTCGGAAACAAAGCTAGTAAGGACATACGTTCGTGTGAACTTTTTTCTAAAATATGACACGTAGTCATCAACTGAAATCAATTATTATCGTAAATTTTTGTTCATCATCAGAGAAGTGACAAAACATATTTTTCGTTTATGTTGTCGTCTAATGCAATTTATGATAGCTGAAAGGAAAGAAAACATTTTCATATTTTTGTTTCAAGTTGGTCTGGATGGTAAATTCAGACCCTTTGGTACATCAAGCCAGCCACAAAGTTTGGATACTACGGATTCTGACAGAAATAGAGTATTTCAAGCGGTCGAACATAGATTTCCAATAACCAATGGTTCACTTTATACTAGCATCGATGGAAGATTGCCTGTGATACACAATTACAGAAGAAATAGAGACAACAAAGGTAATATTTTTCGTTAGCGTAATCGTAAATTTTTTATTCAGATCATTATTTTCATTTGAAAACTGATTTCGTTTTTAATATTACTCCAAATTACTCACGATTAATTTCGATACTACAAAATGTCTTTCGTTTTCAATCATCAAAACCAATTTTCCGGATATTTGACATCTATCAATCCTTACGTTTTTGTGAATTATCACTCATGATGATTCATTTATATTCCATTTCATGATATAATGCTATGTAAATTATGTACAAAAATATCATCAAAATCATTTAACTACCTGTTTAAATTATTATGTATTATATAATTAACTCTGTCATTTGTTTTAGTGAATAAATATATTATCATTACTACATTGAAACATGCGTTTAACACTGACTATGTTAGAATATTCAAAAACTTGATCAACAAACCTCCTAGCTTTAATAACTCTTCTTCTAGGTACTAAACAAACCGACAAACAGTCCCCCACCGTCGCCTTCCTGTCTCCTCATCTGGCCCGCCAAGACTATAATGATCCCTCCGGTAAATTTCCGTCATGCAGCAACTGCGAAGCTGACTTATGTCCCAGCCACTCCAACCTACACCATCTAAGCCCGCAGTACATCAACAAACAACTGAATCTCCTGCAGCACAGCCACAACCTGATGCTGACCAAAAGATCCACGCCGGAAATGAGGATGGCTCACAGTCAGGAATCGTTGAATTTCATTCCGGAGTTGCAGAATAGGCAATTGTTTTGCAGGAATTCAGATTTGGGTTTGAATTCTGGAAACAATCTGGTCATGAAGAGTTCGAGGAATTTGCTAAGACTGAACAAGATGAGGCTGAGTCGGAGCGAGGACAGTTTGAATGAACTGCAAGTGAGGGAGTTGGGTAAGTTTGTTTATCCTTGAATTGTCAAGGAGAAATGACCTTATCAGCTCTGCAAAAAAATTTCACCGTCACCTTATAGGTTTGAATCAAGCTTCATACCCATACTGTTCATTAAATACAAAATAATGTTCTCCCCCAACAAAATTTCTCTTTGAAATCATCTGCTGACGAAGAACCGTGCTCAAGCCGCAAACCGAACTAGCCAAGCAGTAACGTCAATCTATCGAATCCCTCTTGAAACTGAGATGGCCATCTCTCCTCTACGGCCTTCCTTTTCTAGCTTCACCCTACTATCATATTTTCAAATCCACAGGCAACATCATCCACCTCAGCCGGCAGAAGACTTCTGAATCAAACAAGCTTACCCCACAGCATCAACAGTCCAATAAAACCTTCACAAGAGTTGAAGTAAACACTCGTAACGAATACTCAAGCTCCGACGACGATTACCTGACCGATATCAACGATACCAACAACAACAACGATCGACTCGACTCCATGAGCCTTCAGAGTTGCTGTTCCATCACCACAGAAGCCAACTGCGACTTTGAGTTTTACCAGAACAACCAGCAGCGGTCTGGCGATATTCCTCGAATCGATACCTGCAACTCGGCCGACAACAGCAACGAGTTTTTCGTTATTCACAACGTGAACAACAGGCCGGTGATGACATCGTTCAAGCCTGTACCTCCACCTAGGATGAGCTCGCAAACTGAATTGGACAGAAACTTTCGGATAACGAGGTCTAATTCGAAAAGGTAAGGTATTGTATTGGTAAAAGCGAACAAAACAAATATATTTTTCTTCTGTTCTAGTTTATATAGGTCCCTTGCTGCATGTACGTCATATTGTTCTGGACATAATTTTTCTCAGTCCCTTTGTTGCGTTGCCTGCAGTTTAGGTCACCATTGTATATCGCTATTTTGTTCAGGTTTCCTCTCAATGGACAAAGTCCAGTACGTCACCCTGTAATCATTTTGAGCGGATCCCTGCTTTGTTGAAGCAGTTCTTCTTTTCTTTTTTCGGACGGTCCCTTTATGAAGGTATGTTTCTTATAGATCTACTTTCCAATGTTGTTTCGTTCCAAAGACTCTGGTACCCCCGCAGCTGGTTCAGGGGCTATATATGGAGTTGATGATCCGTGTCTGGCACACTCGTCAGCTCTTTTGTTATCTGCGATGCCTGAATATCCTGGCATCCAATATCTAATATTACTGGAGTTTTTTCCCAACACCAAACTGTTATTTTAACACCTCGACACGTGTTTCGATCACCAAGTGATCATCTTTAAGAGGAAATCAAACAAATCAGTTTGATCTTCCTCAAGAAGATGATCGAATGGATAACTGGAATTAAGATTTTTCTCCGCAGACTAAATTCCAGCTCCCGTTCTATGATTGGTTTTCGAATGATCTGTATACCAGATGTTTCTGTCAAGCACGTTCTAAGGATGACTGTTCATTCTCCACTCTTCACGGTTCAGGAATTTAACCGCGAAGTTTCTGTCGAACGTGTATTTCAGTGTCATGTGGTACGAAAACATTACTGATGTGTAGAGCCAGTATATCATGACCGCTATGTCTTTCCGTAGACTAGCAACAGTGCTACCTTTAGCGTTCTTTTAACTCTCTACAGCCATTCTGTAGAATTGAATATCAAGAATGTAAGTTTGAGCAAGTTCTTCATTGAGTATCAATTTTGAGGGACGAGCTGATGAAGGAAGGATGGAAAGAAAGATCCGCTTGCCTGTTTCTATCTGAAAAATTATCTCAAGGTTCTACAAATTTAATCTAACAAAAAATGACTTGTATACACAACCGTTCTGTGAGACTACCTATCAAGAACGTAAGTTTGATCACACTCTGTTTTGAGTATCATTTTTGAGGGACGATTTAAAAAAATATCTCAAGGATCGCCAATGAAAGGAATGTGTTGGGAACAGAGTTCTACCAGTAAAGCAGTATTCAAGAAAACTTTCAATATGTGCCTAATGAATCATCATGAGCTGTTATGGAATGAAATAACTTATTTCTCATTCTATGACCTTCGCACATTCAGATGATTGCTTTTCTTTGCCTCGCTAAGATCAGTTCAAAACAAACGGAGCAGTGTGATACGTCAGCATGACTAATGAGTATATTATTAACCCATCAAAGAAAACTCGCGAGATCAGCCACAACAACCAGAAACTCGAAAGGAACCTGGAAAATAAATAATCTTTCTTCTTGGAAAAACTTTTGAGGAAGAACATCCTTAGTAACCATCATGATAGACTACTTATTTATATATACCAATCCACTTTCATATATTTCTTCATGGAGCTCCACCCATATGATAGAAATTTATTATACTCTAGAAAGTTCATAATAAGTTTCAAGTTGTCTTGAACCGACACTGGATGAGGTAACAACTCTTTGACAAAATTAGACCCATATCGCAGCCAAGAAAAGAATCCAAGATTTATTCAAAACGTATTGGCATCATGTTTTCCTTATCCGAGATATGAAAGCTGGTACTACAATGAATTGAGAACAACAATCTGCTTAATAACTGCCACAATCCTGACCCGATGGTGAAAGCTGTCTTTTCCCGATCTTCTGGGGCCAGTTCAACTTGGCAATATCGACTCTTCAAATCCAAAGTCGAGAAAACTGTGGAGCCGGCTAGCGTGTCTAGGTTGTCGTCAATTAGTGGGAAAGGGTAGCTGTCTTTCTTTGTCACGTGATTTAGTTGGCGATAATCTAAGCAGAACCTTGTCGAACCGTCCTTCTTCATCACTAATACGACTGGAGAAGACCAAGGGCTGTCAGAAGGTTCGATGACTCCTTCTTTTCCCATATCGTTGACTATCTTGTCTGCCTCTTCTTTTTTGGCAAAATGGAGTCTTCTAGCTGATTGTTGGATTGGTCGGTCATTCCCAGTGTCGATTCTGTGCTGAACCACATTCGTTTTGCCGCCTTTTCCTTCTCCAATATCGAAAATTTCCTGGTACTTCTTAACTAACTCCCACAATTTGTATCGATGAGTTGGTGGTATGTCCTTGGAAGAAATGTTAATCAACTTCTCCAACTCTTTAGGCAAGTTGTTGGCTTGGCTAACCGAACTGCGCACACTCCGTATCACAGAAGAAATGAACGAACAGTGCCCCAGCATTGTTCCTTTCTCCAAGGTCACGGGAAAGTAGTTGACATTCATGACCCTGATCGGCACAACTTCATCAACACGCAACTGGGTCTTCCCCAGTGCGATTCCTCGTCCAATTTTTTCATCAGCTTATCTTGGGCTCGAACATTACGACCTTTCCGCTGCTCGTACTTTCGTCCAAGCGAGCCTCCAGGATGATTTCAGCCCTCTCAGGTACGCACACGTCTTCAGCCAGCAGGACCCTGATCATCTCTTCGCTTCTTCCATGAAGCACCAGCTCTTCTCCGCCGACACGTAGGACGCTGTCATGAAAATTCAGCACGACCCCTCTGGAATTCATTATGTCCATTCCAATAATCTCATCGTCCTCGATGTCCGCCACCAATGCACGATGGTTCAATTTAGTGCTGCCCAACACCAACTCAATTGGTAGTTCTCGAAGTACAGTGGCTGGCTCCCCTGTTGCGATACGTAGCTTCCAACTTGACGGTTCAATTCTTGCCGGTGTTTTGGCAAAGATTGGCTCAAGAATGGTTCTCGTCGCACCTGTATCTAGCAGCATGGTGCCAGGCTCGTTGTTGATGAGGCCGTCTACGAAAACACCTTTGTCTTGTCGTTGGAGAATGGCAACATATTCGTTTTTTACGAGTGCATAATAACAGCGGAATCTTCTCAGGAACCTTGCATTCAATATCTGAAATCATCATAGCATTCACCCTTTTTTTTGGTAGACCTGAATTCGTAACTAATTCACCCGGAAAAATCGAAAGGCAACAGATTTTCTCATAAATCGGGCTTCTCGATGATCAAGAAAGTCATTTAGAAGTACTTATCATCACAGTCATAGACTCAAAGGCTCACAAGAAGTAATAAATGCACAAGTAATTGTTGGAAAGTGTCTAAAATCTTATCTAAGTCCTGCTTCTGATGGTCATGAATCATAAAAAGAACTTTGGAATCCATAATCAATCTGTTGCGTAAGACACCCGCAAAGTGAAAGGTTCACAACCTCTTTGCTGAAAAAGCAATTATAAACGATTTAGGATATTAGCTTTTATGGCAGTGCATCACATTTCGTTGGTAAATCGGGTTGATTCATCTTTTCTCGGTTCCAATAACTCATCAGATTTTGAGCCAATGATTGATTTGAAGATTATTGTTCTTTCTTAAGTAAATATATTACCATTCGTCATTCAGATGGTGATGCCAGTATTTGTATATGCCTCTCAAGTATATTGGAAGTCGGAACAGTCTCTTCGGGATGCCAAACCGGTAGCATGAAAGAAGTGTTGTAATTTTTCTTCGAAAAGTTTCCTGTCAGCTCATTTTTCGTCAGGCAATTACCATCCACCAACAACCAGGGGTTGGTTGAACTAACTTCTCGTAACTAGATGTATTTTAATCTGAGTGTCTTATTATTTCTAGGTCTCTAGAGAACTTCCAGGCCTTCATCGAAGTTGAACATAAAAATCTCGACAACAATTTGAAGAGGTCGAATTCGTTCATGACCTTGGAAGATAGGTACAAGAGCAGTAGCAACGAGAAGAATATCATGGCAAGCCCGAAAATAACAGATTCTTCCCGCCATTTCAACAATTTTCGACCGAAAATTAAATCCGTTGAGTACTTACCAGACTCTAACACAAGTACTGTTTTCATCGAAGACGCGAATAGTAATAACATATATTTCAGAGAGGAAGTGCTCCGAAAAAGTAACGATAAGTGTGTTAGCAGTGTTCCGGATTTGCAAAGAGTTTTTGTATCTGAATATATCTGAAACGCTGTTTTTGGCGTAAACCATAATTGTATATATAGAATGAAGGATACTTTATATATTAAAGTTGTTTGTACACCCCGATGTGCTTCACTTCAAACCAGATATTGAACCTTAAGTTTGTGATCATCATGTTGGAAATGAAAAAAATGTCGTTACACATGAATGTACATGTACTCATGTAGGATTATATAATGACCTACAAATAGTTTCAAATAAGAGTCTCGGACATAGCCCAAAATCAATAGGGTCAATGCAGTCTACATCAAAAACACTTGTTCTCATCTGTTCTGTTTAAAATCTGTTTTTTCGTTAACCAGCTGTCGCACCCCTACAGAATACAATCCTTATAATATTGTCAATTAATACACTTCATGAAACGAAATATAAATCACAATTTTCTTCAATTTAAACACGGAACTTGAAGCTGAAGAGTCTTGGGCCTAACAAATAGATGGTGCTTTTTCAGTTAGTACTAACCTTAAAAAGAAAGCTGTTGAAATTTCATAATATTCTACTCATAAGTTTGTGAGTTATTGTGCTAAGAGTGACACTACTTTTATTATTTTTGAAACAGTGGATCATGAACAATTTTGTGTTTAATTTCACACAGCTTCTTAATGGAAAAAATACCGTTCCAGCAAAGCAATGGCTTGAAAAGTGTTAACAAGGACTCCGATCCATAGAAAATAACAATAATTAAACGTTGGTTGGCTGACTTAAAACGTTGTCGTAGCGACACCGATAATGCAGTGGACGTCCAAATGAGGCAGTAACACCAGAGAACAAAAAAAATCCACATAATCGTTTTGAATGATCAAAAAGTGTAGTTGCGTGAGTTCGCTGTCAGTGTAAAGATATAAAACAAACTTGTTGGCTTTATATTGCATGAGTATTCGACTATGAGAAAGCTATGTTCAAAGGCGGTGCTGCGCTAGCTCACTGTTGACCAAAACCAATAATAATAATAATATCGTCTTTATTATCTTCTAATATAGTTGAAGCTAATCAATCAGGTACAGTTTATTTATTACATGAAGATAAAAGGCGAAGTTCAATTCACATTCACAAGTCATCATTCAATTGCTCTTTCACTTAACCTCAAAAATGTCGCCTAGTACGCAAAGGAATAAACAAAAAGGATTTCAATTATCATTCCAATTATGTATAGATCTGTAATAGGTAGATAGCTATTGGGTCATTAATAGGTTGAAGATAATAAGAATCGTTTCAAACTGGTATTAAAATGATTGAAGTCATCTCGTTTCATGGGCTCGAGAATGTCATTATAAATTGCGCAGATCTGGTAGCTGAAACTCCTTCTAAAGAACTCTGTGCGAAAGGATGGCGGAGTTAGTCGCCCTTTATACCTCACATTAATATGATGCACATTAGTTCTAACAGTAGTTTTCTGGTGTACCTCAGTAAGACGGCATTTTATTATTAAATATTTTGTGAAACAAAAGTTGCAGCATGTAACACTCTCCTATCGTTCATATTTAACCAGCCGGCATCCCTCAGTTTATGTGATATTCTTTCTCTTCTAGTACCAAAAATTAACCGTAAGCAAGAATTCTAAACTTTTTGTATCTTTTTTTTTATTGGTTGGTTAAACATGGACCATACAAAACATCAGTATAATTGAATATAGATAAAACTAGCGATTCACAGAAATTCGCCTTCACCTTCATGAGTAGGAAATTTCGGTGTCCATATATAATTTTAAGCAAATAATATGCACGCCTAATAAACTGATTAACCTGACTTTCAAGTTTCAAGTCATTATCTGAAATGATGCACAGGCTTTTTGCTTCTGTACCCCAAGTACATGATCATTTACTACTACTACTTTCACAGATTTGCAAATATTTCTAGGGCCTTTTGGTCCGAAAATAATAACATTGGATTTACTACAAATTATATTTAAGCAGTGATCAGAAGCATTTTTCATAAATAATTTTAAGTCACTATTGATTTGAGTACACGCAATATCTATCATTTCAGGTGAGAAGCTATAATACAACTGGGTATCGTCTGCATACAAATGTATATTACAAAATTTTAAACATTTTGCAAGTTGAGATGTGTAGATAGCAAACAAAAGAGGTCCCAAAATAGAGCCCTGTGACACTCCACATATCAGCTTCAAATATTGTGAGCTGTTTCCTTCTATGGTAACCTTTTGTTGACGGTTGGTGAGATACGATCTGATTAGTGATATAGCATTTTTAGAGAGTCATATATAGCCAAGAAATTATAACATTAAATCGAAGTTAATAGTATCGAACGCTCTTATAATATCGTCCACTATATGCAACAACAGTTGTACAACTATATTCTTCACGAAATCCGGATTGATTTATTGGAAGTATAGAGAAATTGTCGATGTGTTCTTTCAACTTTTGATGAAGTTGGTAATAAACTAATGGCGCGTAGGTCTTTGTACTCTGATGGATTCTTTTTTTTTGGAACAACTTTCACAATTGGTTTCTTCCATACCGTGGGAAGAATATTATTATTCAAACAAAAATTCACGATATGTGTTACATATGGAATTATATGTGGACAGCACATCGCATTGCATTTGTTTTTATCTTAGAATAACGCCTTTATGATTTTGAGCAGTGTTTTGTCATGTTTATTCATAAAAAACCGGAATTTTCGCGTCGATATGTGACAATGAATGAAACATGGATCCATTACTTCACTCCGCAATCAAAACGATGGTCATCTGAGTGGAGAGTAACTGGTAAACCTCGGCCAAAGCGCCCGAAAGCATCTCAATCGGCTGCAAAGGTTATGGCCTCAGTATTTTGGGATGTGCGAGTTGTAATATTCATCAACAATATTAAGAAGGAAAATACCATCAACGTTATTGGAGCGTTTGAAGGCCGAAATTGCAAAGAAACGACCGCATATGGCAAAGAAAAAAAAGATGTTTCATCAGGATAACGCGCCGTGTCATAATTCAATCAAAGCAATGGTAAAACTACAAGAATTGAACTTCGAGTTGCTCGCACATCCACCGTATTCGCCAGATTTGGCTCCCAGCAACTGCCGTCTGTTCGCAGATCTCAAAGAAATGCTCACCGGTTAGAAATTTCCCTCAAATTAAGAGGTTATTGCTGAGGTTATTGGTGGAATGATTGTGTTGCTCTTGTGATGACCAAATTGACCTAATTGCAAACAAAAATAGTCTCCCCTCCTCCTAATTTCTGAACGGGGCGAACTATCAGAGTCTGACAAAATTTTTGTAAAAAGGAACCATGTTCAGTACTTTTTGATCAAAGAAGCCAGTAGTGTGATATCACTTGCCACCGAAAGGCCGTATCAACTATTTTTGCAAATGTCAAAAGGGTCTTGTGATAGTTAATATGAAAGTTATTGCCATTCTTCATAAAATGATCTTCTTTTTTTTAAATTTTAATAACCGGCTGCAAAGTTATTGAAGTTTGAATTAGGGACTAATAATTTCGCCACTCTATGTAATATTTTCTGAAGTAAATATCCATTGGATAGATATATGAATTAGTAATATTTTTTGCGATCGATAAATATTAATTTCAAGGTCAAGAAATGATAATATTTCATTATAATCTCGTTATTATTCATCTGATATTCATACATTAATAATCATTTTACCGAATATTCACACTGTTCTACTTGAGCCTCCTGATAGTGAATCAGTCTATTTCCGAACTCATTCCTAACATTTTTCTAAATTTTTCTGGGATAATGGTAGTAGAAGTTTCGGTAATTCTGTACCCGAGTTCCTCAATGTAACAGGTTGCATAACATAAACTTTCAATTTGGTATGGCCCCCAAAGGAAAAAATCGAGAGGGGTCAAGTCCGGTGAACGAGCACGACAATCCGCCGGTAAGCGCTCACCGATCCACATGCCTAGGTATATGTCTGATTTAAACAATCTCTTACTGACTTGAAAGATGTGGGAGCGCATTGAATTTGGTGTAATTCAATGTTCATATAAAAGTAGTGGTTCAGAAATGGTTTTTCCATTTGTAAGTATGATCTACACAAATCCATAGAGTGGTTTAACTGAAATTATTTTATTTTTTTCTTTGCGAGCTTTCCACGTTTTTTGTTCAATGAGGGTGAAGTAGAGGACAATACTTTCCAAATCTTGTTTTACATTTTTCAAATATATCACAAAAAAAAAAATCAGCAGATGCATATCACATTGAATTTTATTATAAAAATAATATTTAACTTCATAACAATTATGCTAACACTTAATCTCACTATTTACATACATTACATATTTAACCTAATATTCGACTGTCACACACTTGGTTTTCAGGTATTCATTAAGCGCTTCTTGGCCTGAAAAAAAAGTTCAGATGAGATTCTAAATTCTAGTATATTCTCTTTGAGAACTTTGAAAATATCTACGTATGATCTGTTGTTCCTACCTAAGTCTTTTCCGAATCCAGATTGTTTGAACCCTCCGAATGGGGCAGCGACATCTGTTTTGTTGTAGGTATTGATGAAGACAGTTCCAGCGTCTACTCTCTCGGCAAACCTCAGAGCTTTAGAAATATCCTTCGTGAATACTCCAGACGCGAGTCCATATTCTGTTGCGTTAGCCCTTTTCAATACCCCATCTAGGTCTCTGAAATATATACGGATGTAGAGAATGGAACAAAAATAAATTGTATAGAAAAGTTCAGTTAACTGTCGGGCAATAATAATTATTACAGCATTGTATCGCTTCGAATTTTCAATTATGGAATTAGTGCGATTGAAATACAGAGGTCTATTCAGTGGTGTGAGGCTAAATCACAAATGAATTACTGGACTTAACTATCCTTGAAGAACAAGCCTGGGAAACCAAGGGCGACGACATCTAACGCCACGAAGACGTCATCTCTGGAATTGACGTAGAACTGAATCCTCGATAAATCCTCAATCCTCAAAGATAAACAAGTCACTTTACGGCGGTCAGTTGCTGAGCCAAGCCGAGACATCGATCGCCGAAAAGATTCGTCCTCTGTCTCGCCGGTCGTCGACGAGATTCGTTCTCTGTCTTGTCGACCGTCATTGAGGTTCGTCCTCTGTCTTGTTGACCGCCGACAAGATTCGTCCTCTGTCTTGTTGGTCGACAACGAGATTCTTCCTCTGTCTTGTCGACCGTAATTGAGGTTCGTCCTCTGTCTTGTCGGCCGCCGACAAGATTCGGCCTCTGTCTTGTCGGTCCCAACGTTATTTGTCCTCTGATTCATCGGTCGCCTACGAGAATCGTCCTCTCTCTTGTCAACTATCGTTGACATTCACCCCCTGTCTTGTCGACCACCGACGAGATTCTTTCTCTGGATTGTCGGTCGCCGACGAGTCGACGATAAGATTCATCCTCTGTCTTGTCGGTCGCCGACGAGATTCGTTCTCTGTCTTGTCAACCGTCGTTGAAATTCTACCTCTGTCTTGTTGACCGCCGGCGAGATTCGTCCTCTGTGTTATCGGTCGCCGACTAGATTCGTTCTCTGTCTTGTCGACCGACGATAAGATTTATTCTCTGTCTTGTCGACCGCCAATAAGATTCGTCCTCTCTCTTGTCGGTCGCCGACGAGATTCGTCCTCTGTCTTGTCAACCGACGCGACGTTGAGATTCGTCCTCTGTCTTGTCGACCAACGTTGAGATTCGTCCTCTGTCTTTCACTGAACCTTTCACTACAAATGCATTACGTTTGGGATCTGTATTTCCACCAGTTGCATTACAAAGAAAACTGTAGGGAGAGACAGGGGTAAAATTCGGTCGGTGGTCGATGTCTCGCACCTTGGCTTTGCAACTGACGTCTTGGGGAGCCACGTTAATTTTTGATATTCGAGGATTGAGTTCTCTGTCGATTCGATAGATGCCGTCACCTTTGGGTGAACTAAACTAGTAACAGGGCAACAAATAGGGAGTGTGATTTAACTTACCCATTGCTGAATCTGCTCACTACCATAATTGGTCCGAAAGATTCTTCTTTCGCGACGAACATATTGTCTTCAACGTTACTGAGAATCGTTGGTTCAAAGAAGAAACCGGGTCTGTCAAGTCTTTTACCTCCATATTCAAGTTTTGCTCCTTCTTTCACACCTGAAAAACGATTATTATTTAGTATTATCATCTTCATCTCATCAGTTGCTCAGCTGTAAATCAAAGATGATCATAAATGTGTATATTACCTATTTCGACATATTCAAGAAGTTTCTTCATATGAGCCAGATGATTCTGAGGTCCATGAGCAGTCGATCTATTCAAAGGATCCCCAATTTGGATTTTTTTCGTTTCTTGAACTACTCTCCGAATGAACTCATCATGTACGTTGTCTTCCACGAATATACGTCCAGCAGCTATACAGTTCTCTCCTTTATTGAAGAAAACACTTTGCATACCCTAATTGAAAATGAATAATTTATTCAATAACCAGTGTCAGTACTTCAGTTAATTCATTTGATGTTGCTGAGAATATTGTCATTCGTTTTTTACATTTTCAATTTATTTTATAGTTACTGAATATATAAAAATGCAGTAATTAATTGTTCGTCTTAACTCATTACCTTGGAATCCTGTTAGGTGGAGTTTGAAATTCAAGTCAAACTTAATACTGAATGTCAAAAACTATGGCATTTATACTGGTATGTAATTTTCACGCCAACATTTTTTCTAGGTACTTACTGTTCAAACGCATGAAACCTACTACACTGAATCATTAATTTTTTCTTTGAGTGCCTATCGATGACAATATTCTCTCATCATACATTTCAACTTGTTACAACTTGAACTGACTAGATAATGGCTGCTACATCGTAAACCATCCTCTCTTCTGGCTGTAAAATATTCAATTATATACTTACCAATCTCACAGCTTTGTCCAGATCACAATCAGAGAAAATGACTAACGGAGATTTTCCACCGAGTTCCAAAGAAACTTTTTTCAAATTTGACTCAGCACAACTCTTCATAATCACTTGTCCTATTTCTGTACTCCCTGTGAAGCCCAATTTTCTTACATGAGGATGGTTGGCTAATGCTTGACCAGTTACGGATCCTGTTGGAGAGAGTAAATTTCATTTCAGTGCTCTTAAATTTTTTCTAGATAGTGGAATCATCTGTCAGTTTGAATCTCTTTGGAATCGCCGCCTCCTCACTGACGGCAACCCTCAGATGTTTGAACTCTCAGGGCATTGAAGTAGCATATTTAATGATAATATAATATCTATTTTGTGCATGTAACATCTGGAAGTTAGGATCAGAAAAATAAACTGTTTCAGCAGAGTGGTTGATAATATAATTTTAAAATTTAGTTTCATGCTTGCAATATTTTCTCATTTTATGACTGAGAACTATACAAATCATTCAGTTAGAGAAAGTGGAAGCGATATTCTGACACTTGAGTATGCAAACCCTGTTACGAATGTAAATTTGTTTGTAAAATGTTTTTGGCAAGTTCAGATGATACAATCAATAGATGCCAACTAATCATGTTTGGGAATCCTTCGAAAAATACCACTTGAAATAATGATATAATTATTGATTCAGGGTCCAATTCTTCCAATGGATTTTTTCAAGAAAAAAATGTAAGGTGAATTGTTTTCTGGAAGTGAAGCCCTCCCAAAACAACTACTTTCATATAAAAACTGATTCACATCGAAGAAGAATTCTTTGAAATCAAATTCTTTTATATATGAACACTGACTTATACAAAATAACGCTTTCTCCTGTTCAGCAGTAACTTCCACGCATGTAGTGTATGATATGGTTAGTTAAGAATACATTTCATAATTTTGATAAACTGAGTTTTGTGATGAATACATAAATTAGATATTTTCAATTTTACCTGTTCCTGTCACAACGTTAATGACGCCAGGGGGGAATCCAGCTTTAACCGACAACTCAGCGAACTTAAGCGCTGTCAACGGACACACCTGGGCTGGTTTAATGACGACTGTATTTCCAGCTGCGAGACAAGCTGCCATTTTCCACGACAACATCATCAACGGATAATTCCACGGAGTAATTAGTCCACATACACTGAAACATAAACACAATCATCATTGTATATTTCAATAATGCTGTTAGTAAAGCCAAAATTCAACAAATTTTCACATTGAAAAGTGATTATCTATGAATCTTACCCAATAGGTTCTTTTTTGGTGAACGACAAATTCCTGTTAGGTCTGGCATGTGAAACAGGCAAAGTTGAGCCCTGAATTTTGTCTGCCCAGCCTGCAAAGTATCTCCATGTTTCGATACTCATACCAACGTGAGTTTTCAAGGCCAACGTGTACACTGCTCCGGAATCAATGGATTCAATTGTTGCTAACTCTTCTTTATGTTGCTGCATCAAATCTGCCAGTCTGTATGATAAAAAAACATTAATGATGAATACATTCATTGAAGATGAAGACATTTATGGTATCTTTATATTGGAATTGTCTGCAACACAATCAGTGACTGTATCATGATATAAAGGTTGTTTCAAAAGTTTCGTATGTTTAGTGTCATGTGTTTTTGTAGAGCTCTATATCTCTATAGGTTCTGAAGATCCTGGTGGGCGTCAGTTCCCATGCGGTTTTTGATGGTTCAAAACGTATTGGAAAGTTCAAAAAGCTCAAAAAGTGGGTGTTCCACAATTTGAAGAAACGACAGAAATTGATACGTTTCAAGGTTTATTCTTCTTAGCTTCTGCGCAACCAAAACGATCTTTTTTGGATTGTATCGTTGAGTGTGATGAAAAGTGAATCCTCTGCGACAACAGAAAACGTTCAGGACAGTGGTTGGACACCGATGAGCCATCCAGGCAACTTACCAAAGGCGAAAACCCATCAAAAATGACTATGGTTACTGTATGATGGTCAGCGACTGGTGTGACTCACGATAACTTTCTGCAACCAGGCTAAACCATCACAGCAGAGTCTTATTGTGAAATCGATGAAACAACCTGGGTTGTTTCTCATGGAGCGAGGTCCTTATAAAACTTTCCAAGCCATTGTTTCGCTTAAACCCAGTTACCCAGTTATTTCGAATGAGCCACAGTGTTGGTATAGAGAGCCACAATAATCATGAAATTCTCAAATATTCACCTTCAATAAGTTCGTAAATGAAAAACAGTTGATTTGCCTCGCTACCTTTGTTGAGAGTCAGTAGGTTTGAAGATTTGAGTCTCATTAATGCTATAACTTCTTTTTCAAAATCATTATAATCATTTTACGAGATTCTAGTTTCATTTAAGAAATAATATAGTTTTTAAACAGTACCATCTGTAAGCTTTCCTGCAGGCGCAGCTGGTTCCTTGCCTTTATTCAAGGCAGAGCTCTTGATCTCCAACGCAGAAAGTGCCCTTGCTGTTGGAGGTGGAGTGAGGGAGAAGGAGGGTTTTTAAACAGTACCTACCATTCAATATTAATTATCAAATTATTCATGAAAAAAAGGCATTCTGCATTCTGATTTATTGAAGACCTTTCGACGCTCTGACCGAAAATGTTAAATTGCATTTTAATGCACTTAAACTATATTGCATATATTCCAATTCTTCAAAGTACTTCATTTGTATAAATCGGTGAAATTCTTAGTAGTACAAATCAACTTGTAAAACAACTTCTACTTCAGAATACGTTCTCTATACTATTTCAACAGTGCTCTTAAAAAATATTGAACTATTTTGTTAGCATTTGGGAAAAGATACCGTCGATACAGAAGTTATGTATTCCTTCTGAAAATGTTTCTATTCGACTTCAGAATACGATTCATAATTCCCAATGATCCCAATTGAACTCTTTTTACATTTGGGTGGAAGGGTCGATAATTTAAACAAACCGGGTTATTTATGATAAGTGAGGAATTGGAAAAATACCAACGTAGGCCAAACAGAACTGGCTGGTATTTCAATCGCCACAAAAGAAATAATCAGGAAAGGAATTTCTGGCAAAAACAAAACAATCTGCACTAACAGCAGACAAGCTCTATTAGCCTTGAACAGACAACTTGTAACCTCAGGGCTAGTACTAGAGTGTGACCAAGATTTAGCCAAAGCCTCGGCAGATAGATAACATTATCCTGAGGTGGGTTGAAGGGCAGGACAGGAGTAAAGGTAATCGCATTACCGACTTGTTAGCCAAGAAAACAGTTGGACTAAGAATTCTAGGACCCAGTGGCACCTACGGCCTGATGACTTCGACAATTGCATTAGTGACCAAATGTTACACCCATGCTCAATCCCTTAAGAGATGGGATGGAATCAAAGTATGCAATCTTGCCAGGCTCACCTTGGGCTACCCTGGGAAGCTGGTGCCGAAGAAATATCTGGCGATAACCAGGAAAAATCTACGCTTAACAGTAGGATTTCTGGCTGGTCACTGTCAACTAAGGAAACACTTCCAAAATATGGGGCAGGATATGTGAATAGGAAGATGAGACTATCAGGCATGTCCTATGCGAGTGCTATGAGTTATCGCCAATAAGAGAGTGTGTTTTCGGCGAGACTTGGCCTACACCTACTGATATAAAGGAGATGTCTCTCAGTGACCTGTCCACCTTCCTGGAAAGGACAGGATGGACGATGACCTAGAAGGACAACTCCTCGGGAGGATGTACAATGGGTCACATGTGGCCTAAGTGCTGTGGGCTTACACTCCCCCTCCCTAGTCTACAGATACAGATTTATGATAATTGGCATTTTTTATTTGATTCATTTTCAGTTTCGATCCAGAAATAAAAATAAATTCCTTTGCAGTTGATGATTTTATGATGAACTTTACTTTGAGAATAACATCATCAGTATGGTAGTATCACATTAAAAATAAAACTGGAGTAACTGGTTTGAGAGAAAAAGATGTACCTAGCTATTCACCTAATTTAATTTCACACTCACCTATACAGAAGTTGTCCTCTTTCTCTTGGGCTGATTTTACTCCATTCTCCGCTTTCGAATGCCTTTTTAGCTGCAGCCACTGCTTTGTCCACATCATTTTTAGAGGCACATTGAACCTGAAAATTCATTTTACTGAATAATAATAACTCAAATCAAAGAAACTATATGAAAACAAGCACACCACAGCAACTGAAACCACTTAGACCATTGCCGCATCGCTTTCGACGATATCTGCCGCAGTCCCAGACGAAACGTTAGTCCTTAAGACCTGATGACTACGGCTAATGATGTAATGTAATAATGGTTTTTTATATGAAAAAAGAGACTAATGAATCCTGAAAATCATTTCACTTCACAAATCATAATCTAGTATTCAGCTCAAAACTCGTGTCTCACCTCGCATATAACTTTCTCCGTAGAAGGATCAATAGTGGGGGTGGTTTTCCCGTTCTCGGCATCCACAAATTCCCCGTTAATGAACAATTGACATGGGAATCGCAAGTCCATTTTGTTCGCTTTAATTTCGATGGCCCTGTATACGACTTCGGTTTGTCCGCTGCCTCCTCGACTCTTTAGAACCACGTTCATACAGAATTCGGAAAATGTAGGGGCCATGAACACATCCTCGTTCTCCAATTCTGTTTTGAAGACATCTTTAACTTCTTCGACGAGTCTACAAAAAATAAATAAAATGAAGTATAGGGTCTGTTTGGTGTGGATTTCGGGGTGGCGGCATCATCAGTCCATATTTTTTTGCCAGGCTATCGCTGCCTTCAAGGAGGGCTCAATTTTAATAATGATAATGAATTACGAAGAGTTCCTTTTCTATTTACCTCACAACATCCATTGAACCTCCTCCACTAGCGAAGAAATCTGTACCATCATCAATATCAACACTCAAAATAGCTTCCCATATATCTCTCACGGATTCAATCAGACCTTTTTCTTCTGGTGTATACTCCACCGTCACCTGTTTGGTGACTTGATCCAAAGTTGCAGCATTTTTCATTCGACCTGTAAAATGAATATTTGAAAAATTCAATACTTTCTAGATTTTCATTATGTCATTATAAATAATCAGCCTAACTAATATCAATATAATTGGAAGTGAAAAGGAGGAAACAAAAAAATATCGACCAACCCAACGAGCTTCGTAAGTTCCTGATGAAAACTTTAATAGATCAAAAACAACCACACTGCAATTTGCTGGTGCACCACCGTACATAAACCACATTTCATTCATTTATTTTCAGAGGAACACAAACAAGACGAATCAAAAAACTGTTTTCACAATTAATACTATCAAGTATACATCTACACAGTGATGCATTTCTTAATGCCAACGGTACATCTCTCAGAACCTGGGGTAGCATCCAGTCACACAGGAGTCCTATCCATCCCCAAGTATCTCATTTGGATTTTTTTCGGTTCCAATACGGTTATTGCATTTCTTGAGAAGTTTGCTTCATCATTAAACAGATTTAGCATTAGTAGTTGAGGTATTTGAACCACCGTGAACGAAAGCCACTGACAGAATACAACACGTGGAGGAAAATCAGCAGGAAGAAGTGCCTAAACGCGTTAAATGTGGTATGTGAACAATAAATTATCCCTCAACCTTTTCCACTCACATGACTTCCATTCAAAGTATTTGCAGCTACTTGTAGCTAAATTCACTAATTAATACCATATAAAACCTTCCAAATAAAAATAATGATTGGACCTCCTATGAATACCTTGCCGCCCATGCCATACAAAGAAACTGCCGACGTTCGGTAACTATTCAGTATTTATACCATTCGAAATAACTTGGTATATGAATCTGGCGCCCAACGTGGGGCGCCAGATGCATATACCAAGGCAATGGATCTCGTTATCTCAGGGTTTTTCGGGGTTGTAGGAGCAAATGAAACAGCTGTGGATCCGGTCGACTTGGCCTATTCATATAGCTCTGTCATTCGACTTGGCCAATTCATATAGCTCTGTCAAACTCTCGTACTCTCGTTGATATCATATTTGATATCATATCTGATAACACTTTTGACTACTCAAATAAATTGGCCAAGTCGACCGGTTCCACAGCTGTTCCATTTGCTCCTACAATCCCGAAAAACCCCGAGATAACGAGATCCATTGCATACCCGAATACATTTATTGAGAGAAAAATATCGAAATTGGTGATGATACCCCGTAGCTCGGAAATAAAGAGGTTTTTCAAAATCATCAAAGGCTACACTAGTCCAGGAAGTAGCCGCATATTCAATGAACCCCTGTATACATACTTCAACCTTAAAATTACTTCATATATTTCTGCAGCCATATAACCAATTCGGAAAATAGTAAAATTGTTGACAATCACAAAGGATCTGAAATAAGCTATTCACCATTGATTTTAACCATTTTCACGTTGACGTATTCTCCATCGGATCCGGTCAGCAATAAGCCCTCCTCATGAATTATTCCGGTTCTAGCTCCTAGGATTTCAATCTCCTTTCCAATAGGAGCTGCCGATTTCCATAACGATGATCCAAAGAGCAAAGCTTCTTGGAACTCCTCGGTATTGGGAATTTTAATGAGGCAACTGGCGCCAGGAACAGAATCCATACCACGGATGAAGTTGTGGAGATCTTTTCCCGACTTTGTCCAATCGATCTGCAGAATAAAAGAACATCAATATATATTTTTTTATCATTTCGAGTGACCTTCCCGGTGTGTACCTTTTGCAACTCTGGTTTATTGAGCATTGGATCATATGTAGCTCCTTTTTCGCTTTGAGCCAGTTTGGGAGCCGTCCCATCTGCAACCATATCGACAGCTTTTGCAACTGCTGTTACACCAACTGGATAAAGGAATCTCTTGTAAAGTGTGTCCACGGTATCATTTTCCTCAACATCGCATTCTTCTTGAAGTAGAATCGGACCAGTATCTAGACCATCGTCAGCCCAGAATATAGATAAACCAGCTCTTTTATCGCCACAAATCAGGGTCCTGAAACAGAAATAAATATGTGAAAGCAACGAGGATGGTATATAAATGGTATGAAAATCTATCTGCTTCTATATTCGTAATTTCTGAATTGGAACTGCCATTCAAGTTACTTCTTAGAGACACTCTGGTATTTGACTCTGGCCTGTGTTCCTTTGAGAACAGTTGCCAGTCTTTATTTATGTTCATTGTCTCTTCTCTTCTATGTGTTTTTGAATGTCTATTGCCTCTCTATATAATAATTTTGAGTTTTATCGAGTATCCCTGTATCTTTGTTGAGAACAGGTTTGGCTACAGACAATTTTTCTTGTGTTCAGAGAAACGAATACCTAAACTTCTTTTCGGAGTTCCAATACAGATCGACCAGCAGCTACAAGGAATTCGGTATACCCCGATACACCGTGTGTTGCTAAAAATTCTCTGAGGTCCTGAACTAACCTTAGACTTTGTCTGACAGTTTTTGTTGGCTTAAATATTGGTTTATAATTTTTTTGTCTGTGACATACTTACCAATTGATAGAACTAGCTCCTCTGTGTCTCGGCAATATGGAAGGATGGTAACATATGCTTTTTAATCGTGGGTAATTTATAACTTCCATTGGAATGAACTGTGAACAATAGGGAAGGACATTCAAATCGGCATTAACGCTATGATATAAGTCCAAAATTTCTGGCAACGGTTTTCCGGCTCTTCTCCATGCTTTGATTTTAAATACTGGTATATCTTCTGCATTTGCAGCCTTGGCTGAAAAAGTTACATCAAACACATCATTGTCTCGACAAAATGCTTCAAAGTTGAGGAAGTCAAACAGGGAAAGTCAAAATATTTCCTTTCCCTCTTGTTTGACCAGGAACGGTGTTTGTATAAATTTGATTTGTGATAATTGTGGTACCGACTTTTGACTAAAATCACGCTACATTGCATGTTGGATGAGTACGTTTCTTGGTAATGCAAACTAGATGTACTGGAGGTAATTGTATATAATTTTGTATGTAATCAAATGAGTAAAAATAATGGCTTATAGTTTACATCAGCTTTTTCCATTCTCAGTGCCAAGTTAATTTCAATAACGTTTCATGTTATGACTTACATGGAGTCAATAACAAGTATCATCCATTTTTCACGAGGTTAAAGTGTATCTAACTGGAAACAGCAGATACATAAACGCATTTATTACATAACTTTTCGCAGAATTCATATCTGTCTGGCAATCAATGTATGTCACAATATTGAATTATTATTTAGTCGAAATGAAATACGATAAAGAACATGGTCTTCCAATTTGGTAAACTATCTTGAATATCTGTAGATTGGTGTTAAAATAATCATAATTGGTGTTTTTTTTTTTTAATTGAAAGTAGACTTGTTTTATAAGGATTTTTTCAGAGGAAGTTCTCAGAATTTCAATAATGTTTCATAGTTGTTACTATCTGATATAAACTAATATACAATGCGACATTTCGTTCATTAGATTTCATTGTCAACTAATTATTTTTAAATACGGACCTCTAGTTTTTTTATCGATTATTATCGCCACTGTAATAACAAGTTGAGCTATGTATTGAAATATATGGGTTTCTCGACGTTTGTTTCCGAAAAACATCATCAATATTTCTGTTATCACAAAAAGGTAGAGGCATCTTGATGGGGAGAATTTTTGTCGGAGACTCTAGGTGAATTGTTGGAAGATTTGCCTTCGAATTTTCTGAGAAAATATCACTATGGTAAAACGATGAAGCTCCGCCACATCGCAGAACTAATAACAGAGATTTCCTCAACAAAACTATTTCAAGACGATGGATAGGAAACAGTGGTCCTATTAAATGGCGACCACGTTCACCTGACCTGACCCTTCTTGACTTCTTATTGTGAGGCTTCATTGAAGACAAGGTNAGGTTGTTTTCATGAGTTACGTTCAGCAAGTGATCAGAAAGTAGTACCACTTATTTTGTAATTTTCAAAACCATTTTTAGAATTGCATGTATTATGGGAATCTTTATATCACTTTTGATAATCTTACCCAAAGGATCTTCTCTTTTTCCTTTATCCGCTATTGTGAAAACGCCTACGATGGTATGACCATGTTGTCTAAGTTTTTGCATAACATCAACAGCAAAGGGACTCTGACCAATAATAGCAATACGGAGAGGTTGTCCAGAAAAAACATTCTTTTGCTGAAAAACAGATTGTTCACATCAGACTGACGTACATGTTATATCAATGTTATTTGTGTGTTTGAAAGTGGCTGACAATGTTTCATGTTGAATTGTATCAATTCGGACTTCAAAATTGAACAATTACAACTGAAATTAGAAAAGTTCAAAAAGGTTGCAAAGCAAATTATTTCACGACGTTTCGATTGTTAGTATCCAGTATCGTCTTCGGGCTTTATTTTGGTCTAAAACTGTACAACATACATCTAGTTCAATTGTAAACAACCAAATAAATTAATGAATTAAAATATGCCATCAAGCGATTTGTAATCGAAAACTCAAAATAATTTTACGTATGATGATTTCCTACCAGGCAGTAACGGCTACATTCATCAATTTAATTTTAGCTATACTGAAAAGAAAAATGAATTTTCTACATTGAATAACAGTTTCAATGTCATCTGTATATTTTCTTACACAAGCATATACTTAACTTATATCTCCTTCAGTTTTGTTTCCTCTATGAGTTCAAAATTTTATTTTTGGTAATTATGCTTTTATAGTTTATTGTCTTGTCATATTGTCATTTTGTTTCCATGAAATGTACATGATATAAAACTCTTATCTGAATGAGTAATATAACACAATATCTACAGGCTTTCTAATGCCTATAGGTGGAAGTTACTCAGTCAAGATAAATGAATTATGATCACTATGTTATAAGACAAATTGTATATAATTAAATGAAATTGAATTGCCTGCCCCAGCGGAGCAGGCACAATGTCTGTGCTCTGCTGTTTCATCATTCTCCAAACAGAGGTGACACACACTGTCTTCCGACAATGACCTGTGAGAAGGCCTGTTAGACATCGTACTGTAGTCCAACAACTGTTTGGTATCAAACTTCGAAAAGTGAATAAACGCCTTGGAAAGAGCCAATCCTGGAAGATTCTGCCAGAAGTCCATAAATCTTCTTGCCATCCAGATGTTCAATGTTTGTTTGGCAAAGCCTAAAGCCAATGACAGATTCTGGTCTGATAAAATACAGTATCTCTGTCCTGGATCTGCAACTGAAAACATCTGCACCAGAACCGGAAGGTATTTTTGATCCATTTGTGAACCAACAACTATCTGTTCTCAATATTTCCTTCTCCCTACCTACTTACTCATCTTTAGATTGCTACACATCACATACAAAAAATCACGAAATGATAAATAAAGAGAAAGAATTGTTGTTTCTTATAATAATTTGCATGTGTAATATTTTCAATACAGAACTCAAGATTTTCGAGTAAAAAAATCTCCAAAGATTCTGCATATTGTGTAAAATGATACATTGAGTGAAATTGTTTTTAATTATTTTTTTGAAACGGTAGTTTCAACTGTCCTTCGCCGGTTCAAAGTTAAAAACGTCCGATATTGGATACCTAAATTCCAAAAATTTCGCTTCAGGCAAAAACTTTTGGGTATAATTAACTCAACTCAATGACTCAAGTCATTTGCTTAGCAAAATTTCAAAAATTGTGGATTTACACACTTGGGGAATCTTTGAATGTATTACTCTTATTTATTCGAATAATTCTAATTAAAACATGGCAGAATTTATGATGAAGGCAGTAACGAAAAATTCAATAGGTCTGTATAATAATTCTGCAAGGTATCACAATAACAATAAACTAAAGTTAACACATAATTGAATTTATTTGAAAAGAGTGAAACCAATATAAACATTTTGGTTCACTTTAGTATCATTATATTATCAATTATCAACGAATTTGAATAAATTTTTCATGATCATTGTGATGCTATTCAATAGTTGATATTCATAATGAATTTGAATTGAATTTTGAATGATATTCATTTTATATAACTATTCTTTGAAATAATGGTTGAGAAACTGATGAAATAAATATTCTACCAAAGAAAATATTCGTTCAAATGAGTAATGACAATACTGAAAATTGTTGAAATGATCATTTTTAAAAACAAAAAATCGCCAGAAAATAGAATCAGAGGAACTTCACTCACATTTGGAGGCATCTTTCTACTCAAATCCACTGAAATATCTATGTCCAATTGAATATAAACACTTCCGAGTAGTACTGTAACTGAAAACAAACTCAAGAGACCTTTCTTCAATTGCTTCACTTGGGCAACTGGTTAGTCACTGCCGAGTGCAACTGATTTTATATGGTCACTGGATTCTTATCTCACAATGAACGAACTAAAATCATCAAGATTGATTCCTTTCGCTTTTGTTGCCAGTGTACAGAATGGATACAAATAATAGTTACCTCGTTAACTTTCAGTAAGTATGAAATGTACCTGTGGTTGGCATGAAACACGCACATATAGAGAATACTCTAACAAAATTTTATTACAAATTAGAACTCTTAGCCGCACAGATGCAGGAGACTGTCATTCTTGGCTCACGGCGCTTGCTCAGGGCACATGATTCTCGGACCCAATGATCACTTATCCCACGGTGTGGGGAGTGGTCATTGGTTGATAATGCTAGCACGCCCTCCCGAATGTATCGGGGCTTCGTAAATCACCTATGTGGTGGAATAATCCAGATTTACTGTTGAACTGTTGTTGAACAACACACAATTTTATTTAAACCAACCTACAATACACACTCGAAATATCTGTACAGCTGGACCACAATAATGAAAACAAAAGTGTGGCATAATTCGTCGCCAAGAGGGCACTCCCTAGTTTTTATGGGGAGAGGGTCCTAATAGGTATTTCAATTATCTCTCCAACACTGATCCACAACAAATACTGCTTTCAAACACCATATAAATGATATTTAATGGGGTGTCCCTCAAGGAACAGTTCTGGGACCAATTATTTTTCTTATATATTCTAATGAATTGGCGACCATCCAAATTCAACCCAATTTCACATACTTTGCTGATGATAGTACCTTCTTTTGCTAAGGAGAATATGTTAATGAAATAATAAGTATCATCATCAGGGATTTGAAAAATGTATACAGTGGTGTGACAAACTAATCATGTTTCAGTACCCAAAAAAATTAGGTTTACTCACCTTCAGCAATTATTGTGAAAGTTTGAGCCTGATTCGGTATATTTCAGAAAACAAAAACCATTCAAAGTTTCTAGATACATATTACAATTGAAAACAACTTGAAATCCGACCAGTAAATTGATGAGCTGACAAAAAAATTGCCTTCGGGATGCTATACATTAAGAGCCGTTACAAATGGACTAGTGACGCCACATTATGGTTGTTTTCATCAGTAAGAACTAACCATAATGTGTTTTCATGTGATTTTGATGTTGAATTATTTTTATGAGGTAAGCAATTTTAGAGTCTTTTCAACGATACAACACAAATGAATATTTTGGATCAAAATGGTGCCATAGAAACCATTTCCTCCAAATTGAATATGGCGACCATGACTTTCTGTATCTGTAGAATAGGGAGGATGAATTTAGGCCCAAAGCACTTTGGCACATGTGACCCATTGTATATCCTCCCGAGGAGTTGTCCTCCTAGGTCATCGTCCATCCTGTCCTTTTCAGGAAGGTGGACAGGTCACTAAGAGACATCTCCTTTATATCGGCAGGTGAAGACAAAGACTCGCCAAACAGAAACAATTGAATGGCTATGGAAAATGATTTCGTTGCCACCCGGTATACATCTAAACGTCTAAGATACATGCAATCTAACATTTATTTTCATAAAACGGGCACCAGGTCAGCATAAAAACATCTGAAACTGGATATAACCAGTTCGAGAAACTCATTTACAAGTTATTATCGATTATTTCCGTGGCGATATCTATTTTTATTCGGTTATAAAACTATTTCACCAGCTGTCAGAAAATGTTACTTGTTCAATAAATAAATACTCTAAATAAATACTACTCTCGTAGTAGATCATGTAAATTTTCAAAGTATAAAAAATGAAATAAACGAAATAGAACTCCTCTTCAATGATCAAAACATAGATATACTCTGTATATCTGAACACTGGGTTCAAAGTTCTGATATGGCTCAACTATCATTTCCGAACCTACAGGTGGCTTCTTATTTTGCTCGACAAGTTCCATATGGAGGAACTCTTATTTTAACTAGTGAACAGGTAATATGCAGGTCAATAAAATATATTGAAAATATCTCGGTACAGTCGCATATTGAAATAAGTGCAGTCACTTTAGTGGATAGTTTTAAATATAAAACAGCTATCCTCCTTTGGGTGATTTTGATATATTCATTGAAAAATTGGAGCAGACTTGTATTTACTTGCAGGAAAATGTTAATTATTTCATTGTCTGCGGTGGTCTAAACGTGAACAGTCTTGATATCACTAATAGCAAAACGAAACTATTGAATGATTGCTTAGAATATTTTCATCTTATCAAAACAACAAATAAGCCAACACATATCCTAAAAAAATAAACATAACCATGTGAATGCAACAGCAATTGACTACCTTGTCACAAATATTTCAAAAGAAAACTTCAGTGTATTCTTATATGAAACTTCATTAGCCAAACATCTTGCCCATATTTTCTCATACAATCTTACCAACTCTTTAGCAAATGATTCTCTGGCTACAACTACCAATAGAACATTTACAGATGAGAACTTACAAGAACTTAGAACACGACTAAGTAATATTGATTGGACTGGTGTAAGTGGACTTACTACAAATAATGCATTTGAGGCCTTTATGAAGGAATTGACTTGGTGTCTTGACGTGTCATGTCCTAAAAATAGGATAAATGTAAAACAAAAACAGAAAGTAAAAAAAAGTTGGGTAACGAGACAAGTTGAGAATGAAACAGTCAGTTAAGAGAATTGCATAAAAGAATGATAGATGGAGAAGTGAGTGACGAGATTTACAGAAGGGAAAAAAAGAATATACAAATAGATTAAAGAAGTCAAAAACAGGATATTACTCAAATCAAATAGAAACAGCTGGAAACAAACAGAAAGCTACATGGGATATTGTAAATAGTTTGAGAGAGAAAACCAATATTGACAATGAAAGGGAGATCATCTTGAAGCAAATGGTATCCGGATCAATGATGGAACAGAAGTTGCCAATAATTTTGCTTGCCACTTTGCCAAAGCAGCCTCGGTAGCACATACGGTCTCGGAATTTAACGAAAACTCAATGTTTTTTGAAGGAGTGCTAGAACCTGAACTAGTTTCAACAGTGACCGAACTAAAAAATAAAAAATCGAGTGGCCTAGACGATATAACATTAAAAGTTCTAACATATGTCATTCCATCTATATCTGAAATTCTATTGAATCTTATGAATCACGCTATAATGGAAGGCGTATTTCCGAGTGTCTTCAAAACAGCCAAAGTTATTCCTATTCATAAAAAGGGTTCACATGAAGATATAGATAACTATCGCCAAATATCATTACTGAGTATTCCATCTAAACTTATCGAAAAAATAGTAGCAAATAGAGTTATTGCGTTTCTTGAAAAATACAAGATTGTAACCGATCATCAACATGGTTTTAGAAAAGCTAGATCAGTTGAGACTGCTATTGCTAGAAAATTCGAGTTTATTTACAATGAAATCGATAAAAGAAAGTATGTAGTTTCAATATTATTCGACTTGGCTAAGGCGTTTGATTCAGTGAATAGTGACATAATGGTTAGTAAGTTATATAACATTGGCATTAGAGGGTTCCTTCTGGTAGGAAAACAATTGAATCAATTTGACTTGATTTTTTGAAAAATAGTTCCAGCTGTTAATTGATAGTTAATCGAAGATAACATCAACACAATATCTATTTTGTTGAAAGAAACTTCAATTATTCCATTAAAGTGTTATGACATGAAAAATTAGGAAGTCCACTTGAACTTTGTCTAAATAATACTGATCTTATGTAAAAATTGTCTATATAAAAAGGTATTCGAATTTAAAAAACTAGATACTTTTAAGGATAAATTGAATAAACATGCGTTTCACTAATTATTGAAGTGATATTCAATATTCGACCAATGGTGAAACAAGTTACTTCTATTCAGCCAGTTCTTTGTTGCAACATTTTGTCCCTCCAGGTATGTACAGGAATGTATCAATCACTCGTGCACTTGAGATTTCTTGTTGGCCATTGCCTTCGTTTTGCCAAGTTCTGGAGAAAATACTAAACCCTTGCCTCTCATGTGAGACTTACGATTTTGTTGGTACGTGTGGAAGAAATGGCCGACTGAAATGACCCACTCGGCAATGATGAGGAGCTAGTACTCCGAATCGATATATCGGTAGTAATCCCGACCAAATGAAGAGCTTGGGCATATCAAATGCACCTCTTAGGAATATAATTGCCATTCTGACAGCCGCCCCAGAGTATGTGTTTGTAGAGTTACTTCCGGACTTTGTTTCTAGATGGCACAGTGGTACGTCCTACTGAATGAACTACAGCCAGGGCATATATAGTATGATATTTTATTTCATTCTGTATTAAACCTGAATGAAATTAGGATGACTCGTCAGCTGCAATGATCAGCCAAAAGGGTAGGGGAGCTGGTCTCCAAACCTGAATGAAATTAGGATGACTCGTCAGCATTCTGTCTTAATGATATTTCATGAGTAAGTTAAATTACAAGTTTTATTTGTCAGTTTACAACAATACAAAATATGAAAAATAGATGAATAGGACTCTATTGTATAATTTTCTAATATTCATCATTCGCTAAAGTTGCCAGAAACATATATTTTATAAGTAAATATACCTTGAGATCATTAATATGTGTCAATAAATATGTGTCCAATACAAGGTACATACTATTTTTGAAAATTGATACTTTCAAGAAGAAACTGAATTTTAAACACATTTCTACATTTAGTCATTGGTGACACATGAAAATTTTGAATATAAAGACATTTTCGAGCTATTTCTGTATACACAGCATGCTCATATTTCCATGTAAATGAATTTTCATCTCTTAAATATACTACTCGTATATTGTGTAGCACTCTTGTGAATGATATCTGATTCGATTCCATATCGAATGTTTGGAGTGCATACTGAATAAGAAAAAGTGTTTTTTGTATAAATCAACGTACATATAAGAGTAGTTGGTTCAAAAGAATTTGGTCTTCCGTGTAATTCAAATGGATGAATGAAAGTAGATATTTCGAGAGGGTTTTTTTCTTCCAGTTTGTGACTGAAAGTTGATTCTTTGCATAAATTACACATCTTTGTATAATTTTATCAATTAGCTTCCTTTTTTTCTTTGGAAGAATCCCACATTTTTTTATGAAGATGGAAAAGCAGAAAGTCAAAAATCAATTTCTCCGAAAAGTATACCCGTTTCGATGTATGTTCTTATTATTCATGATATGATGTTTTGATCAACATGCACTTATTTGAATCCGATTCAAAGCGGTATTCCGTTCAAATAATCTGTGGTAATTTCACATAGGTCAAAATGGCAATAAATAACATTGTTTAGAACTAAATCAAGAACCGATTTGAACTGGTTAGCGTACAAAATGATGCAATTATAAACCAAATTATGTAATAATATACAAATGATTTTTTGATACCACCAATGTTCAGGTTTTCAAAGTTTTTGAGTTTTCACAATAACTTTTAGTTTAAAGAATTATATGATCGGAATTTTCAAATAACCATCTTCATAATATAACAATTATTACAAATTATCTATTCCATCATCATTCAAACCATTTAACTTCGAAAATAGTGAGTCAGTTCTATGAATCTGTTTTAACATCATACTAAATAAGTAGCTCCATAGTGTTCGAATATATACAATGAACATCCTATATAATATTTAGAAAATCGCCAAAGAATATCCAGTATTAGAGCTTATTTGGTAAAAACTATTTTTTGTGAATACTTCAAAGAGTATAATAAAGTAGCCTAATATAAAATGGGTTCCTAATTTGGAAAATGTGAAACTTTTTGATGCTTCCCTTCATATGTCTTTCCATGAACATGTGACAAACATTTTCAAAGTATCATCTTTCAAACTGAAATCGCTATATAAATTCAAGTATCAGTTATCAGATGAAATAAAACTCAGGTTAGTTAAAACTCTTATTCACCCCCATATCGAGTATTGTTGTCGGTGTATTACAATTTTTTGCCGCAATATAACAAACATAAGTTACAACGTCTTTTCGTCTCTGGTTTTGGTGAATCATCACTTGAACGCAAACGTTTGCTAATATGCTATTCTTCTGCTTTCCATAACTGTCTGAAGTTTGTTTATTATTTTGAATTTAGATTGATTTAGATTTAACGTGTGATTCCGTGTTAGGAATCACACGTTAAAAAGGTAAGACCTCGTTAATCCTCAGCTTGCACAAGTTTCGACTTCTGAAGGTTGTCGTTCGTAGGGGTGCAACAGCTGGTTAACGGAAAAACAGATTTTGAACAGATTTTTTTTTAAACAGATTCTAGTTTCTTCATCAAATTCTGAAGAGTTTTGTCACTGCAGCTCACGTTATGCCCAGAAGTATTCAATTTCTTCCTTATGATTTCAGTTGTAACAGTCGTATATTGTTTTTCTCAATGACTTTATTAGATGACCATCTAAAAGTTTTGGTAATCCTGTATCACATCGCGTCTTGCGTTCATAAGGTTTGTTTTTGACTATTTTACGTACAGTTACGAAACCAAACTTGAGATGTAGATTTTTATATATAAACATATTCTCTGTGTTTCAATATTCAAATGCATTCGAATCTTATTCTCTGGTATCTCTTTTTCGCATTGTTGACCATCGTTATTGGAATCACTACACTGGAAAAAGTATGCGTTGTTATCACTCTCGTCATTACTGTTAGTAATTGTCCAAGGACGTCACATTTTGAACAGATAACAAAATTTTCAAGTAATTATAACTGCACCAATATCGAATTTCAACACTCAAATAGCGATCAGTTCCTGAACTGAACACGTCGGCGATAACCATCTCCGCATTCCCCGATTTCCATTCGTCACCGTAATATGACCTCAAATTTAATTTTATGACTCTTCAACCAATCATAAAACTTGGTTAGTAAAAAGTACACAAAGTGTTGTGAATTCCCAAACTGAATTCATGATCAATTCATGATCAGTCAGTCGCAACTGAATGAAACCAATTGAAAAGGAACGATTATTTTTAAACTGTATAACTGTATAGTCTGGCACCAAATATATTCGAATGTGATCATCATGGATGGCTGAAATTTACAATTCAAAGTGATACTGCCCAAAGACAGGTAATCTGCTCATGGGGGGTTTGTTTCTCCACCTGAGACATATTCTGCGTACGCCGCTCAAGAATTTGGTGCAAGGTGGATTCATAAGGTACCCCGCTCTTGAGGAGACGACTCAGTCATTTCCTGGCTGCACCACCAAACTTTTTTTTAGGTTCAGTTATTGGATCAGGAGTAGGAGAGTTGAGAAGCTCCCGCTCCTGATCTAAATTCACAGGTAGGTCAGTTGTAGTCGGAAGCTCGTCATCCATCTCCTCTGTAGACTCAGCGTCAGAAAGAATGTTTAAGTTCACTCTGTCCATAAAAGTCCCACGAGTAGCTAGGGAAAGAAAGTCAATCACGTCAGAGCCCCGCATCACCGTGACAAGGCGATGCTACGACGAGAGGGTGCCCGGTATCTCGAAGGTTCCGTAGAGACAGCTAATAGGCTCAGTGTCATTCATCCCTTGGCACGGATACACACACCTAAGGATTAAGCCATCGTTGGAATGCCATTCGTTTAGGGAGTAACAGATCCACAAGTGATTCTGGCATTCCCGTATCCAGCGGGTATACTTAGAAGCAGGCATCCGATGGCTGGTTTGCTCAATCCCCACATCCCAAGCCAATGCACTCACCAAACACAGCATGCACAGTGGTTCAGGCAGTGAAAGATGAACAAAGACAGCCAACTCGCCTCTCTTCAAGTCTAACACAATTATCTAAATGAACAATTCGTTCAGGCCAGTCTCAAATCATCTACACTGTAGGTTAATGGACTGGACACCTATCAGAAAATAACTACTTCCCTGGCCAATACCACGAAGGGCGTTGGATTATGCATATGCTGCATATGCTGTTCGATTCCGGCAGTTCTTTAAGGGTGTTGGCTAATTTCATCCACGCAACTATACATACCAATCGACATGTTCGATTATTTTTGAACAGGTTTGTCTGCCACTCTCAGTATTACTATTGAAATACTTCGAAAGAAGCTTGATATACAATGGCATGGTATATTGCTTCTCAACATGCATCTCTTTCTTAGAGGTTGAAAAAAATAATTACTCTCTGAAGTATTTCCCAGTGTTTATTGCCGGCTGGGAATCCTGCTCGCTTCTTAGAATTGTAATTCACCGCGTCGAAATAACCTAGTTATCTATTGCCATTTGACATGATCGAAGATAATGAGAGAATAATCAAAAATAAAACCGCTTCGAACCAGTTACAGATATAATCGATTGACCCGTAAGAACTTAAACAATATTACAACACATGATCAAAATAAGAACAGTTCATTTTTCGAAGATTTCAACATAATTTCCAGAAATGATAATTTCGCGAATGTTTACATCAATATCTATTACAAGAATCAGGCAAATACATCAAACTCTGGAAGTGAGTTTCCAGTAATAATTTAAATAATAAACGTTTTTATTGGTTTGAATACAAATCTGTTTAAATTCTATTTTTCCGTTAACCAGCTGTCGCACCACTACGAACGACAACCCTCAGAAGTCGAAACTTGTGCGAGCTAAGGATTAATGAGGTCTTACCTTTCAACGTGTGATTCCTTACACGGAATCTGAATACTATACTGAATATAAAAGCATCATGAAACTGAAGCCGAGATGTAGCTGAGAAAATGTTGATTTTTATAATTTAGTTTGAGGGATAAAAAGAGCCCCGATGATGACATAGGTATATGTTGAGAGAAGCGTAAGTCAGTATTTTTAACCGATCTAAGATTTCTAGTTGTGTTATCAATCAGTGTTATTTTTATATAGCCCTAAATATCATTGAGCATATGGCAGTAAACAACAGATTTAAAGCTAAATTAATAGATAAAATAGTTTCCAAAAAAGTCTATGCAAAAAGGAATTCGTGAGGTTTTTCCTACTGATAATTCAGATAATGAAAATTATAAAGCTTTAACATATTTTGGACAGACAACAGGATAATGGCTTCATTTTCGAATAAACAAGATATTAAAATTGCATATAGAACAGGACATACGTTGGGAAAGTTAGTTGAAAATAATAGAAACAAAACATCCAAATTCAAGAAATCAGTAGTATAGAAAATAAATTATGGAACTTGTCCNTGTTTTAAAAAGGTGTGGCTACTGCTCTGTACACCCCAATCTCTTGATGAAGAATTGCTTTCATTTTAGTTTTTAAGTTTTATTAGTTATTCCAAGCGGTTTTTTCAACTTCGTTGGGAAAAACGTACATGTTCAAATCAAAGTATTTGAAAACTGAGGCTCATGTGTGTTCTCTATTGTGACTTCATTGTAAAAAAACTTTCGACACGAAAAATAATGAATTAATTACTGTACCCCAATCTGGTAGCCTGACTCAAATACTGGTGACATAAATTTGGTGCGACTACTAGAAGGTTAAGTTATAACTTTCACAAGGTTCTCACATTACTCATGAGCACTACATCTGTAATGTAATATTACTTTAATTGTGAAATTCACAAATTGATACTTGATATATTCTTCCATCCATATAAAGTTTTACAGTATCTCAAGACTCGGTTTGATAAAAAATCTTGCTATAAAGTATTTTTCACTTCATGGAAAAAATAGTGTTTAATATAAAAATTATCATAAAAGTTAATGAATAATTTTCAGTTGTGAATTTGGTTATATAAAAAATAAATTATCCTTTTTTACTCTTGCTGTAACAAACAGAATTCTATATATTTATTTGATAAATTCCCTTACATTGCAGAGAAATAGAACAGAGAACTCATCATCTACCGATAAACTTCTGAAAGAGAACAAACAATTGAAGAGAACCATAGCAACCTTGAAGAGAGAAAAGCTGAATAGTAAAGCAAAAATTGAAAGCAAGTCCAAAAAGTTCTCCAACGATCTCAGTAAAATGCATAAATTCCAGTGCACTCTTCAGCAAGAATTGAACAGGTTGAAAGAAGAAAATGAAAAATATAAAACTGAGTGAGTTTTTCATTTAATACATTTTTGCTTCGAACAGAAATTGTTAACTTGAGTTACTAGCCTGGTTCAGTACATTCTGATGTTGCCTCGAAGAAGAAATGCAACAGATTTATATATCTTCCTGTTGATCTTTCTCTCACACCATAAAAAATTGATAGAAAAAGTTGATGAAACAATAAAATTTCCAGGAGAATTTCACAACAATATTTTTCCACAGAAAAAAAGGCTGTGGGATCCCATTGTGTCTTCCTTCTATAACAAATTTCAATTTCAAATCTGAAAACCAAATATAAATCAACCAAAATGTGTCCTGAAAGCCTTTTACAACATGAAATTCTCAAAACAATTTGATGTTTTTGAGTTTGAATACCGAAAAAATATTTCATTCGACTAAAATACTTTCTAGAACTTGATAATATTATCCCTCAACCACTTCTGAAATTTTCATCAAAAAAAGACAAATTTTAGTTGAAATCATTGCTTTTTTCAATGTTTTTGTCTGAACATGTTTCAGAATCTATATAGGGACTATAACTGCCATTTTAAGTATCATTTTCTGAACCTTAATATATAATTCAATATTTTAACCCAACTAAATCTAAACTAAAATTCAAACAACAGACCGGTGCTCACTGATCACAATCAGACCAGTTGGAAGTAGTTTAAATACAACTTAGAAAAGTGTGGTTAAAATGACGATGATCTGGCTATGTATGTGTGAAAGAACCTCTGGCGTGGAGTCCGCCACAATAAATTGAATCTGTCCTTAAAGCTAATTGAATGTATTGAAAGTCAATTCAAACCAAAGAATATGTAAATGTTGAGCATTGATTTTTTTTTCATTTTCTCGCCGTAAAACTCCGACCATTATGTTCCTCTCATCACCCCCTTTCGGTTGTTCGGTTGATTTCGTCCCCTTGTGGACGCTGTCTCAATAACTAAAGTCCTGCATTGATTTCATAAAATTCCATTGCGTGAAGTATTCATACATTGTAGTTCCATGCATTTTAGCATTCCAGAATCTTAAATGCTAAAAAATAAATAACCAATCTTGAATCAAGATTGGTTATTTTTTTTGTGGTAATATTGGAATGAATCTTCCGCTGACCCCATGAATGGCATCTTCGTAGGGGGTGATGTTATTGCCTTTTCTCATTTTCTTGAATTTTTTCATTCAAAAGCAATCCAAGTTGAGCCCATTTCAAACCTTTTTATTTTCATTGAGCCACACCAGGTATTTCAGTTAAGGAAAGGCATTTTCGAAATGCATCTTGGCCCTAATATTTTGTGTAAAATCTTTCAATTTCCAAAATGGTGAAATTACTCGTTAGTTTCTTCATTTATATGAGCATAAGACTTGAAAGATACAAAAATGTTCATCAAACAGGTTCACAGCATAGTTGTGAAGTACATTGAACAAAAACATGAGAAAATATAGGTAAATTGAAGATTGTGAAAAAATCTCTTGTAGATTATATAATTAGTTGGAAAATGTTTTTTTTTCAGTGAGTGTGTTACTTTTTTTCACTCTTATTAGTTAATACATGATTGTGAATTTTGGCTCAAGTAACAATCTTATTGTTGTTATTGTGTGTCATTAATATTTTTTCTTTGATGTATGTATGTATGTGGAATTGATAATTTATCTTCTATAAAAAAGGTTTAGCGTACTATCTCAGACCTGACTTGGCCAAAGTTCTCACAATTATTATTGACTAACAAATAGGTGCTAGAATTCTGAACTTGTGCCTCAAGTTCATGTATCTAATAGAAATTGATTTATGTATTAATTTTTCTCGCAATTTTTCATTGTGTTTTTCCCATTTTAGATCAGAGTATGTGTCGAAGCCCAGAATCATGATATTTCCCTCTTCCAAAAACTAGTTAATGTATTTTTGATGATTATATCAATAATTTTTGAAAGTATAGATGATCTGGGAACTCTTTCTTTTTGTGAGCTTTTATAAAATTTGTCAGACTCAAGAAAAATAGTTTTCAAGCTCAGCCCCACAAGCAGCTGTGGTGGATATTGTTTGAAAGTATTACCACTGTAAGATTAAACTGAAATCATTAGCAGTAATACAAGTATTGGCCACAGACTAACCGCGACTTTCACTTGCAATCTTCAAAGCTGTCTTATGGGTGCTGTTTTTGATAACCGTGTCATACCCTTTAATTGTGATTCTTCTCATCTTTTTCAGGCTTCTTTGTTACAAAAAACTCAAGAAACATTACCTAGACTTGGAGACAAATATCCTTGAGCTCAGAAGACAGGCTCACAGATTCACGAAATATGAGAAACTTTCTGTAGAAAACATTAAAACCATGAAAGCAGACATCAACACTAAATCAAATGAAACCAAAGCTCTTAAAAATAGAATACTTGCAGCTGTAAAAAGACTCTCTCAGTTGAAAGCAAAATTTATTAATTTAGTAAATGCCAATAAGGTTCACTCACTTAAGGCGGCTCAGTATATCAATCTGCAGAAAAGGTTAACGTCTAGTATGAATTTGAATAAAGTCTACAAAGTACACTTGCAAACATGTAAAACAGATTTTGAAAAGCAAATTAAAGAAAAACAACAACAGCTTCATATCGCAAATGCAGAATTAGATTCTTTGAGAGAAATTAATAAAAAAAAAGATGTCACATGCCTTGCTTTAAAAAATAAATTGAAATTTTCAATGGAGCAGCAGAAGAAGAAAATTGAAGAATGTAATGATGCAGTTGCTTCAACTAGAGAAAAAATGATGAAAAACAATGAACTCTTGACTCTGAAACATGCAGAAAATATCGGTCTGAAAAAGAAAATCATTAAACTGGAGAAAGAATTATCACATCTAAAAAATAAGGGGTGTGATTACTGTGGACTCTGATGTATCATGGGAAAATGGAGAAAGTGATTAATTGTGATAGAAACATTGAAGTGTATTATTTGTTTTATCCGAGATAATATTTTCATCTAAGATGAGTATTGAAAACCTGTGTTGATAAGGTAGTGTACTCAATATTATTTTAATTTATTGACTGAAACACTTTTCATTTTAATTTCATTACAACAAATACATTTTTTGACTGATAAGGATTTTTCTTCATTTTCAACCTGTCTTGGGCAAGTTTTTAATTTCATCTATGAGTCAACTGATCGGTTCAATAGATTTACATGCAACTTCTTTGCATGATCTACACATCCTNAGTTTTTGACTAATAAAAATGAGTTATCCAGAAAGCGAAGAGCCCTATGGTTAGCTGCAATCAAGTGATGTATAAATTGTTCTCAATCTTTGTTCCTACCTTCACAACGAAGCCAGATTTGAAATATTTATAAGATTCCAAACTTTGATATGCCTTTATCTGCACAGGCGAATAAAAGCTGTGGGTAAAAACCAAATACGAAGCAATATCAATATATGTAACTGGAGGAACACCATCAATTGAATAATCCAGATCAGAAACATTCAATGAGAAAGGGTCTGAACCATTGACCAATCTCAACTTCATTACATATCTGTAACACAATTATAAAAATGTAAACAGATGATGGTGTATTTTTTCGAACATTTCGTTTACCAGCGTCTCTGCTGTTCAGCAATAATGATTTCAAGTATTTACTTTCCATTTTGATCGAATTTAAACACCATAAAAGCTCCAAAAATGTGTGAAAACACTACACCAAAACCAATGATGCTCTTATGACAATAATCAGATTGTTTGCCCTACATCGCCATATTGTGTCACGTGGTTTGGATTGCTCTATTATTGAACTTTGATGGCAGATCTCGATAGTTTGGTGTGTACAGAATATTTGTGAATCGTCGATAAATTTGATAAAACCAAATAGCGATGAATGTCAGCAACCTCTATTCGATAATACTCATGGATCATGCATATGCTTCTACTAAAAATGATATTGAAGAAGAGCCTGGGAAATTACCTAAATGTGAAGTTTTTATAAAAACTGAAGGTGTTGAGATCAAAATTGAAGAACCTGATAGTTATGAAGGAGAAAAAGAACATCTACATTTTGAACCCTGTGACACTACATTTTACAATCCTGATGCAGCCCATGATAATGCTGATATAGAATTTATGAATCATACATCATTTGAAACAAAGAGTACCTCAAGACTGTTTCATGGCTCACAAGACAGAGAGGTATTAATTGAAGGATATAGATTACCTTCAAAGTTTTTTAAAAAGTTGAGCTTTTATTCAACACCCTATTTTGGTTTTTATGGTGTTCATGGACACTATTATAGGCTATGACCTATTTGGGTAACAAGCGGTATTAAAAATATATATTTTGGTTGAGAAAAATGAGAGGGTATCAACCTCAACCTGTTTTCATTCATTCATAATGAGTTCCAATTTCTTCCAACTTGAAACTTGCTTTTACCATTATTACAAGATATAAAAATGAAAGATTCAAGAGTGTCTCCAATGCAGCTGTTGGTTTAATTTTCGTAAATTCACAATTGTTAGGGAAATTCACAATCTTAAATGTGAATTCACAGTTTCAACTGTGATATTGAAAAAAGAATTTTCATATTTATTTCAATTCATTTACATTACAGACAAATCGAGGAAGTCTTGAAAAATCAAAGTCCACAAGCAAACTTATTCAGGAAAATAAAAAACTGAAGAAAACTATAACAAACTTGCGAAGAGAAAAGCGTAAATGCTCAACAAATATTGAACGCAAATCTAAAGAGTTTTACCGTGATCTCGATAAAATGCACATTACCCAGTCTGCTCTTGAGAAAGAAATAAAGAGTTTAAAAGAGGAGAATGAACAGTATAAAACAAGGTAAGTTTTCAATTCAGATTTTTTTTTATAATTTAACACCATGTAGCGCCCATTATAGACAATCAATTGAATCACTTCATCTCCGCTGCTTAAAAGTTAGTTGCAAATATCAAGGAGAATTTTAGGTGCTACGAAAATCATAGTATCACATCAGTGTATCATACTTTCTCACTCTCTTGTTATTCTGTACCTGATTAGGATTCTCAAAAACTGTTAGGCCTTATTCGTATCACATAATAATAATAATGAACATTCATTTCCTTAGTAACTTATAAAAGGAAAATTATAATAATAATTTTTTCCAAATATATAGTTGAGGCTCGAAATCATTTATATCAACTTCAAATACTGTTCATTTGTGTTGTCTTGAAATCAACTGAACTGACAGATAAAACATATCAGGTATTTATTCTAATGTCAAATCCATGAGAGATCCTAACTGAATAATAAAATAACAAAACCACCATCTTAATTATTATAACTTTATTTTTGTGTTAGTATACTCTTTATAGAATATATAATGCTGTTTTTCAAGCCTCCCTCTCATCATTAGATATTACAAATATCTGTGGTGGGTATAAATTTTGATTATCTGCACTCGGCAGCCTATTTTGATTGATTTGTTCTATTGTTGTTTATTTCAAACAAGAATGAGATTCAATTTTCCTTTGTAGAACATGAGTAAAGAAAAGCAATGGACAGTTGAAGAATGTGGCAACTTAATTGCTGTTCGTGTAGTGGAAATAATAGAAAACAGTTCGAAACAAAACACGCGACTTGGGACTTGATTCTCTGTTTGGTAGAATTCGAGTTTCCAGTTTGTTGTATCTGTTATTGAAAACAAAACTAGTCGCAACCGTGTCCGTTTGGCGGAAATCCCTCTTTAGATTCACCGTTCAGGACTTTTTCGATTCTGGTTTGGGTGAATCATTGCTGGCTGGCGGAGAGTTAGTTTCCTCTGATACAGATTCCGCTTTTCCTACTCAAGAATGAATTTGGTGTTGCACTACCCAGTCTCTTAGGTTTGTTATCAGAACTGGTGAGCTCTTGCTCTTATTCTGATATAGGAAGGACAGTTGGGGTTATTTCATCGACGTCAAACTTCTCTGTAGACCTTTGGTCGGATTTTGGGGTTTCGATTGAAAACTAGGTTAATGGAAAGTGACAAAAGTTATCAACAATGGTCCCACTCAAATGATTAAAAAAAATTTATGATCCATATTTATACATCTGAACCTGATATTCTCCACAACTACATACTATTTATTCTCCATTTCTTGGTGAATAGTATATTTAGAGGGGATTTGTAAAGTTTATTATCTTTTTTCAGGCTTCTTTGTTATGAGAAACTTAAGAAACATCACTTTGATATGGAGACACAAATTCTTGAACTCCGAAGACAGGCCCACAGATTCATGAAATATGAGAAAATGTCCTTAGAAAACATAAAATCTTTAGAAATGGATAAAGACGCCAAATCAAATGAAACCAAAGCTCTCAAAAAAAGATTAACTGCAACTGTGAAAAGTTTATCTCTATTGAAGATGAACTTTACTAATCTACTGAATACATATAAGAAGAAAGCGCTCAGGGCAGCTGAATGTGCTGAGTTGAAGGAGAAGTTGAAGTCCGCTGAGAAAATGACGAAAGTTTATGAAGTACTCCTTAGCTCATCCAAAATGCAATTTGAAAAGAAAATACGAGAAAAACAACGAGATCTAGATATAGCAAAGGCGGAAACAGATTCACTGACAAAAATGGTTAGAGCAAAAATTGCCACATGCAATATTTTGGAAGTGAAATACAAATTCTCAATAGGGCAGCAGATGCAAAAAATCCAAGCAAGTCATGAGGAAGTTGCTTCCGCTAAACAACAAATAACACAATTTAGTAACCTTTTGTCGCAGAAAACTTTGGAAAATGATGACTTGAGAAATACTATTCATAAATTGGAAAAAGACTTATTGGATATAAAAAAGAAGGATTGTAATTACTGTAGACTTTAATATGTGAAAAAATGTCTACTGGAAAGTTGAAATAGTGATATATTTCCGTTTTATGGAAGTGATTCAAAGTGTTTTTTATACGTTATAGTATATTGTGAATTGAAATACTTGGAAATCAGTATTTGATTTATTTACAAAATAAATCTTTTAACAGATGAACGACCTTATTTTCATTTATACATTCATTGATCTATATTTAGTTATACTGGCACGCCTAGTGACTTATTAGGGTGTTTTGAAAAAAAAACCCTTAAAGACTGATTAAGAACCCAAATGAAACCAGCAAGAGGGTTACTCATGTTTTGTATTGTGTTGTAACTTTATCCTGATGATGAGGAGCAAAGGAAGTGAAATAAATTCTAATTGATTTACTAAATAAATATAGTTTAAAAAACGTGCTTTTAAAGAACATCGAACTAAAAAGTTGAAAAAATGTTTTTTCAAAATAAGCTTAAAGCAATAACGAACGAAAAATACTAGTATTATTGTGAAAAAAGCGAAGGGCGCTTGAGGGAACTCCAGACCGCCTACAAAAAAGTAACCACTCTATAAAAACGCATGTAAATAATGAGAGGGCAATCTCAAGGAATTCCGTGGGATTTTCCCAAACCAATAATAAACAAGTACATGTGTATAAACCTGTGATTGGATATAATGATGAAGAAAATTTTGAGACTGTTCCAAAAGGAGGTTATATTCATGTATCTCGTATTGGCCCCGAAATGTCGAGTGACAACCTACTACAAGTACTGAACGTCTCCAGATTAATCAAATAACAAATGTAACTTACATTATTAGAAAGAGTTGTGAACTGAAATAACTTTAACAAATAGCCTCAACGATAATTCAGAACTATTGCAATGACCCGTAACGGAACTTGAAACCTGATTCTGTGAGAAATATTGTCCCAATATATAATTGCCAGAGAATAGATATGTTGCATTATTTTCTTCCAACTTGTAGAGCCAAGCACCTTCTACCTAACTTTGTGCTTGATGTATTCAGACCAGTTGAGAGTAGGGTCTATAATAAACCCCAACATTTTATTTTTTGTTCTAGTATTCAATTTTTGTAGTAGTGTTGAAGGAAATAATTTGCTCTTCATGTCCAATTTAGAATTATTAGAGAGCCTACAAACCATTTTACCTCCATTCAAGCACAATCAGACCAGCAATCGCAAACAATTGTCATTTTCTGAGTAAAACAGTATAATATTTTTCCAAACTATATATTTAATATTCATTTCATAGAGCAGGGGGTTCTTAAATCAATAAGTATTTCTTACAAATTATATGTAAACAGTCTCATTGTTTTATTTACACAGCATATTTTAATAGGTAGACAATTAATATGGTAACCAACAAATAAACCAACTCGACATCACTCAGAATAAAAAACGTTTGAAAACGATAAAATCAGTGGCCGCAGTTTCACCTGAAAAGAAAACAAACATAACATAGTTAGTTTTTCAGTAAATGAACAAAATACTGTTAATTAGTTATAAATGTCATTTGATCTGTCTGAGACATTAACTTTCCATAAGAGGTCGCTCCAAAATTCATTGTGGGTGTTCAATAAGTTGAATGTACAATTTCTTTTAAAAATCAAATTGTGATACATTACAAAATATATAATGTTGAAGTATGGTATAGCGAGATCTGACCTTGTAATTATCGAGGTATTAATTATTCAAGTTTATGGAATCACATGTATTTCAAGTAAAAAATGCTCATTGGCAGAAAAATATAAAGGCTTGGCAATACCATTCAAAATAGAGATATGCAAAAGAGATTTAGTTTACAACCATTGAAGTTACTTAGGATAGTTTTTGATTAATGTTTTTACTCTTTGCAATCGATGTCATGAAAATTTTACAACTTGTTTATTCGTAAATTTGGGAATTCCATATTTCATGATTGCAGGGGATTAAACATTGAAATGCTATTATGGTTGTCTTATAGAATGAAATGATCTTGAAGAGCACTATGATTTTCTATCAAGAAGCAAAAAATTGAGCTTTTCGAAATTATGAAATTCAAGGTTTGCTGAGTCAACTTCGATGACTTGAAGTTGACCTAGTAAATAATGAAGTCTATTCTTGATTCACTGCTCAGGAAGCATAACTCTCGGACCCAGCGATCTCATATCTGAAGTAAGGAATCATTGGGTTTGCGAATCGTGTGACCTGAGAAGCCGTTATGAGGATAGACATCAAACAACCCACATCTTTCTTCGGATATTTGTTCCGAACTCAAAACCCAACTTCATTTACAGTATTAATAATAGTCTACATTTTCTCAAGAAACTATTACAGCACATAAAATTCTTCCACATCTTATAGCCTCTTCTCGTCGGGAATTTGAGTGGTAACTGATCCTCTCAAGTTTATTCTTGACTTCACCACTCAGGATTCTTGTTCCTTTATATACAACCTGTTCTTTGCCAAATCGTTCGTTTGAAAGCGTTAACGCATTAATTTTTCACAGAAAGCACTATTATTTTTCATCTACAAGTAGTTCTGACACAAACAATGATTGCGACATAACACTGATGTTTTGTAGGCATTTCGTTCAGATGAACACTTCTACTGAACATTTTTCCGTTCAGTAGTTAACAAATTTGCATAACAGCAAGCGCTTCATCACGTAAACTTTTGTTTTCAATTGAAACGAGGGAATACAAGCCAAAATCCGGTCCGAATTAACAAAACAGAGGCAATACTTACAACTGAGGCCTACTAGTGAACATTTCAAACACTATCATTGCGCTAAAGTTCCCATTGGATCCCAAGCAGGAAGAACGATGGGCTCTTGACTAAAAACATCTAAAACTTCTTGGGGAACGTACTTCTTATCGACCACTACTTCAAAAGTAAATTCTTTGAACCATTCTGCAGACATGACAAGGTAACCTTTCTCGCCTCTCTCCTCTCCCCAAGAATTTTCTACTCTCAATTTCAATACTTCTCCATCTTCCTACGAATGCAATTAACAAATATTAGTATTGAAACAGTCGCTCATGATTGAAATGAACAAATTTGATCAACCCGTAAACTAATTCCTTGCAATAATAGAAAAAAAAAACTGATGTGTCGTGAAATTAGATATGTTAGTCACACAAAGTTGTGGAGAAATTTTTTCAAAAGACTACTATTTTTACGAAGGTCTAGCAGTACGATGAATTTCTTACATTTGTACTCAAAGCAGTGAAAACCATGGCGTGGGTCATCGAACTTTCACCATAAAGGAGTCTATCGGCTTTAGACAAGTTAACTTGAATATCCACTCCAAAAACAAGGGGAAAATCATGTCTGAAAATAGAAGATGCAATTGTGAAAAATCATATCCAATTCAACCTTTTCAAAAAAAGCAAGTATATTTATGGTCAAAATACATATATAGCATGACCATTTTTAGATTACAAAAACGTTTATTTTTCAACAGATTACTTTTTTTTTTCATAAGGTACACATTTGAAACAAATTTAATGAAAAAGTCTTCATTTATCAATGTCAAAAATGGAAAAAAAATTTGAAAAATACGAACTTATAAAAGTCTTTTGATACTATGATTTCAAATCAAAAGGTATAGAGTGTGTTCCCAAAATTGAAAATATCTCTCATTTATAGTAAATTTTGAATTTACAATGATTGTTTTGCTTTTTTGGCTTTTTCACCTATGAAAAGATTCAAATAGATTATGGTTTTAATAAAACCTCACTTTTTCCAGTGAGACGAGAAAAAAAATTATCAAAAACACAGATGTCTGCTTACGCTCTCAAATCTTGAATGCCTTGTTTCGGAGCAAATCTTTTTGAAACTTCACAACCGAACCACACAGCCTCTCCTTCCATTATACTTTTCTTGGTCAGCTCCAGAAGCAGCTCCACTGGTTGGTTGTTGTAAATGCACCTTCTTCCTCCAACCATATTACCAAGACAATCTACCGTATAGACTTTGCCATAATCATTAGTGGGTCTTGGGTCTGTGACTAGACAAACCTAAAGAAAGATGGAAATGTTTTATTCAAATGGAACCAAACTGAACTGAATACACAGGAAATTATTTATAAAAGAAATATTCATATAGGGAGCTATTTGAGAATTGGTCTAATTAAAAACAAAAAAAAATAACAAATGCGAAAATGTAAATAAATAAAACAAGCAGTTCTTCAATACCATTTAGAATTGTAGTTTTCTGGAAACAAATAAATGTTTACTACTTTACTAAAAAAAAAGAATGTCCTTGAATGGGGTAATAAACTTTCTACCAACAAATACACTTAAATATATCTCACCAAGTGACAGAATTTTACATCATTTTAGCTTATTGTTATTCTAAGATTCATAGGGAGATACAGCAGCTAAAAAAGTTTTCATTGAAAGAAAATAATTTGGGCTGGAATCAATTGCCCCTTTTTTTCAGATAACTGTGTTCCATTTCTGCAGTGGCGCAAAAAAATTCAAGAACAGGCAAAAAGTTATTTTTTACGTTTAATTATTGTGTGTTCAGAATATTTTCCTAATACAAATACTGTATGACGTCAGAGTCTCTATGAGACGGTGGTGTCCATGTGTCTCCAATTGCGAATACTTGTGTGCACATTTCAATATCTACAATTAAACTTAGTGGAGTTTCAAGATCTAAAGCAGGGGTCTCCAAACTTTGAAGCCTTCGGGCCATAATGATTTTTTCAGTTTGTTCCAAGGGCCAATTTCTGCCTTAACTATATTTCTAGACTAGGATAGTCGCAAAGTGCGTGACCTAAGCAAACTTACGCTTTTTTTGCATTTCAATTATTATTGTGTATTGTAACACTTAACGACATCTAGTGGCGAGTAGTGGTACTATGTACTATCTTTTTCAGCTACTCGCTAGGTGGCATTAGGCGTAATTAAATANATCATCAAAATATCAACTTTTCATGAATTGAGAGTACTGATGTATTTAATTTCAATTAAGGCTATGTTTTGGACCATATTTAGCACAATTTATTTTTTATCTCGAAAACAGATAGAGATAGGTATAGGACATTATTAACAAAATAGTATTAAAATACCAGAGCGATTCCAAAAATGTATTAATATACGGGGTGTTCCATTAAAAAAAATTAAGTTGCTAGGACTTTTTGATGGAAGTGGCAACGCCACAATGCTGAAAATACTTTAGATCGATAAAACAGGTAAGGAAATGTGAGAGGTGAAATTTTCGGAAAAATCATGCTTTGCGTTTTTCCAGAAACGTCTAACCTACCATCGGCCGTGAGTCACGCTGTATAGTTTGTTGTATATATAAATGTTCATATGAAATAAAGAATATATTATATTATTATTTTCATTACCGCATTTAAGTAATTTTTGGCATTTTGGATACAGCATACTGAAAATTTTTTCTCTTTCCTCAGAATCAATTTGATACCTAGCCTAGTGTTCAACAAATAATAAAAACACTCTTCCCTGTTGGAAAATACAATATAGAAATTACACAAAACAATACAATACAAACAAGTACAATTGTTTCGAACTTCATACCTTATCATCAACGTTGAAGACAGCTTTGACATGCTTCTCGTAAAAGTCCTTAGCTGTGATTGGACCAACGCTGTGGAAAGTTTTATTTTTATCATAGTAGTTCCAAGTGAAAGTTTCGTTGGGTATGCCAAGGCAAATACCAATAACTCTGTAAATGTTGGCCATCTGTCCTTCGATGAGTTTGCTGATGTCTGCGTCGCTAGCGCCTTTCAAAACGAGATTCCTGATAGCCTTGGCGTATTCACGTAACTTGCTCTTCAATACCTGGTTCAATTTCATGCTTGACTCACAGCTGAAAGATTCCGGAAAGTTTTTTTTCGGCATTAGCCCGTGCTTGTTGATTAGATTGACTACCATGTCCCATTGGCCTCCATCAGTCGTCGGATCCTTAAATTATTAATTTTGATGAGAAAAATATCTTTCCAAGTATGGAAACAGACAAAACAAAATAGCAGCTCTTACATTTTCCTTGAGTTTTTAAGTACTTTCAATACATGCAAACAGAGCTGAAAGGTTTTTGATTTATTTGTTCCCTAAGTTGACTAATAAAATGAAAGAAGCAGTGATATTACCGGAAAATTAAAAAAAAACATGTGGGAATATTATTTAATCTTGATAAAATCAATGATTATTATTGTTCCATTGCAAAAAACCTTAGTGAGAATATAGTGGTACCTTAAATCCCTTAATAAATCATGAAGATGTCAGAATTGAGGATAACCTAACATCGTTTACTAATATTAGTGAATTAGTAGAAATTTTGAGGAATATAAAGAATAAAAATGCAACTGATTATGATGGAATTTCCATAAAAATTATTCAAAATCTTCCAACTGAGGCACTGTAAACATTTGTATCTCTAATCAACACCTCTTTCCACAATGGAATTTCTCCTGATTTTCTGAAAACATACGTTGTCCTTCCATTATATAAAGGTGGAGATCCCGCGAATCTTCGCCCGATCTCTCTCATTCCAACTATAGCCAAAGTTATCGAAAAACTTGTGAAAATACATCTGACAATTTTCCTACAACACCACAATTTTTCAAGTGAAAGCCAGTTTGGTTTTCAAAGCAATAAAAATACGCACGATGCCATCTTTTCGTTTCTTTATGATATTTACTAAACGTTGAATTCTGGTAGTGTAGCAGCTGCGGTCTTTTGTGATCTTTCTTAGGCATTTGATTGCGTTGATCATAAGATCTTGCTAAGAAAAATTCACCAATACGGCTGTAGAGAGATGACGCTCAAATGGTTTGAATCTTACCTTTCAGGAAGGAATCAAATGGTAAGAACAACAGGACTTTCAGAAAAAAAAGGAAATTTTGTGTGGGTCCACAAGGATCAGTGTTGGGACCCATATTATTCTTATTATATGTCACTGACATTGCAAATTTGAGCATTTCTAGAAATTTCACTCTTCTCGCTGATGACACGACGAAATTTGTGGAACAACAAAAACTCAAATGATGTGCTCTTGATGACCTGTCATTTGGTGATAACTTAGTGATCAAGAAAGAGACTCAATCTAAATTTCTAGGTATTCACATTGACAACAAGCTCAAATTTATTGAGCATATTAAACAACTTAAAAGTAAAATTTGTTCTGGATGTTATGCAGTAAGAGTAACTTCAATAAATTTGGGAATCAAAACTGCCAGAACGGTGTATTACGCCCTTGTTGAATCCCACTTACGTTATGGAATACCGTTTTGGGGAGTATGCAATTCATCAGCACTTCTGTCTGTATTAGTACTGCAGAAACGGGCTATCAGGTATATGTGTAAAATTGAACCTCGTGATTCATGCAGACACAAATTCGTTGAGCAAAAGATTTTAACAGTGATTGCTTTGTTCATTTTGGAAACGGTTTGCCTCATTTACAAAAATATGTCCTATTTGAGGCGTCACGCCATTCTTATAGCACCCATTCCACCGCGTAGAAATTGCCAATTCCTTTGACCAACAAAATGTTTAGAATAGGAGTAAAAACATTTTTGGCTGATAGATCCTATTATAATTTGCAAGAGTTCTATAATGATAAATTTACGTGACAAAATATGCATATTTGATATTCTTGTTTAGATATTAATGTTTGTTTGTTTGGTGCAATGGGTGTGTTTATTTATGTTATATTATATATAAGTGTATATATGTTTATAGGTCTATTATATAAGTGTTATATTTTTAAACAAGTCTGTACACAACCATGTTGAGACAAAATTTCGATGTTGAACTATAGCGTATGTTCTAACTTTACTTTTTTGTAGGTGTTTTTATATTCACTTTTTATATTTCTATACTTACATTTGTATGTATTTTTCACCAACTTTGTCCACAAGATTTATTCTTATTATTATAATTTCGAGTATATAGAACCAAATGTATATACTAAGTATACTAAGAATGTTTCACCTACTTTCAATAAGAATGATACCAAGCGTCCATCCACATCTTCGTTTCTCTTAGCACTTTCAACAATGCTGTTGAGGAAAAAATTTGATCTCTCAATTTTGTCCCAAAAGAAAAGGTAGCCCTGAGAAAACTCAAAGTCGTCCAAGTTGAATTGCTTGATGAATGGCAGACGAATCACATTCAAAGCAGCAAAAAGCCAACATCGCCCTGAGCTCTTCTGATTTGTCACTGGTTTAGCCTCTGCTTCAATCTGAAAAACATATATAAAAATTGAAATTTAGCTTCGACATCTTAGGACAATTTAGAGTCGATTGTTTTTTAAAGTAAGACTTTCTGAATTTTATTTTATTTTATTTTCCATACAGACTTAATAGCCTAATTACATGGAAATTCTTATTACAAATTGTACTCCATTTCAAAACCATTGATAAACCAATAAAAAATTTCGCTGTTTTCATCTGCAGTCTGATTAGGGGTATTAAGATGGGAGATATACCATTTATTTTCATTTATTCATTTACTTATTTAAGGCATTGCCTATTTTTTGTAAAATAATTAACAAATTCACACATCTATACTGTAACAATAATCTATAACTATCAGATATATGTAAGGAAAAATATTTGAAAAAAAGGCAACAAAATTATAAAAAGTTATAAATCAAGTTCTAAGCAGAGCTCCATACATGAGAACAATACTCCAAAGAAGGTGTGATCTGAGCTTTATGAAAGCCATATTGATGATCGCTCAAAATGTTGAAGCCTTCCAAATATTTATTTATTTATTCATTTATACGTGATAAACCCCATTACAGTGTACAAATTTCACAGAAAAAAAGAACAATATAAAATGTAAAATATAAACTGATACGCTACGGAATGTTTCTGCAGCACACAACTATATAACATTATAAAATACTTTAGGATATAAAATCAAAATTGAACTTGTTACCACCATATGTAAACAATTACCAACTTAAATTATTCAATGATTGTTTAAAACGACCATAAGAGACACCAAAAATACTGATGTTTTTGTCATCTACTAACTTTAGGGCTCTTTCCAAGGGTGTATGTTTGCCATAAGTTGTATGATGGAAGGGTATATGAAATAAATGGCTGTGTCTAGATTCCTGTTTGGAACATGAATGTTGACAGATTCAAGTAATTCAGGACAAGTTATTTGTCCATTGAGCAGCTTGAATGCATAGCATAGATCTGCATTAATTCTTCTGGTTTGCAATAGTTTCAGCCCCATTTCTTGTAATATACTCGAATAGTCACGGTACTGTATTTGAAGACCCAACTTGCAAGAACAAAATCTCAGAAATTTATTTTGCACTCTTTCTAGAGACACACAGTGCACATTGTAAAATGGAGACCAAATGATACATGCATATTCTAACTTAGACACCACTAGAGCTAAATAAATCCTTTTTAATGCTTCAATGGAAAATCCTGAACAATGACGTAAATTAAGACCCAGTGTTTTGGATGATTTCACACTCACTTGGTTTATATGGTTGACAAATTTGAGTTGTTCTTCAAAAATGACCCCCAAATCTTTTATAGAGGAAGTGTATTCTAAGTGCTGATCATTTATGTTGTATGATGTATCGAAATTCCTACCAACTCTTGAGAAAGTAATGAAATGGCATTTATTTACATTAAGAAATAAGTTATTTATAACACGCCATTCATAAACTTTATCTAGATCATCTTGAAGGAGAATTTGATCATTGTATGATTTTATCAGTCTGAAAAGCTTCAGGTCATCCGCAAACATTAAAAATTCACTGTTCTATAAACAGTATCCTATGTCGTTCACAAAAATATTGAATAACAGGGGTGAACAATGTGATCCTTGTAGCACTTGATTTGCATCCTCCAATTTTAACCTGTTGTGAACGACCAGCCGAAAAACTACCAAACCAATTTACCAAATGTTCTGTAAGACCAAAATTTCCGATCTTCTTCAATAGAATATTGTGATTTATTCTGTCAAAACCCTTGGAAAAGTTAGTGAAAAGTCAAATATTTGAGGATATGGTGCTTTATGACTTTCTCCATGATATATCACTGATAGCAAAGCGTCTGGTCTATAGTTATAAGTACAAGTTTCTGGAAATTAATGTTACCATTGATTATTTTGTGAATTAATGTAAGATTTGATTCTAATGAGTCAGAGTATTCAAGTTGAGAATGTCCAATATAATTTTATAGTTATATTCGCCAATAGACTGGTACTATGTTGCTGTATTGCTGCTGTTCCAATGTTTTAACAGAATCAGAATCAACGAACTTAGGCGTGCGCAGCGTTATAGAACAGTGCTTTCAAAAAGTGTTCTACAGCGCCATCTAGTGGCGGGTTACAGAAAAATTGATAGCCTAAAAACCTTCTCAATGAAAAATTACTTATGCAAGTTTATCACTTACCAACCAACAAACATCCATTTTTATATATTAAAAGATTACCTTTTAACCTTGTTTTGAACACTTTCAAGCATATCAATATCCACATTATATGAAGGGCACCAAATTGTGGAGAGTTGTATTCAATTGCTGATCTAACAATATATGATTTTTAAGTAAGAGAGAGATAATTCTTTTGCAGATCTAAGAGATTGCATGTATTACCCTCCTTACATAACAAAGTAATACATTCAGACAACAGCGCAATGATAAAGCATGGAATCATGTATCACATACGCAGTGATCGAAAGTATTGCCCTGTAAGGAGGTTAATATATAAAATAAAAATCACTTTCAAGCCAATACACAAGATGCAAATCGTAGTTAAGACTTATTCCACATGTAGAGGTAAGAGAGTAATGACCGCAGCGGGTTAAAGATTAGGTACAGGTGTATTGAGGTACACTACGACCACGCTTTGCTCCATATCGAAGTAACCCAAAGGTCAGACATGAAGTAATTTGATTCAAATGACAGTGACCTGTAAGAAGGCCTGTTAGACATCGAAGTTCATCTCTACTGTAGTCAAACAACTGTTTGGTATCAAGCTTCGAAGGGTGAATAAACGCTTTGGAGTGAGCCAATCCTGAAAGATTCTGCCAGAAGTTCATAAATCTTCTTGCCATCCAGGTGTTCAAACTTTGTTTGGCAAAGCCTAAAGCGATGCCAATGACAGGTTATGTCATATAATACCTATCTTATAAATTCGGAAAATAAGTCCGAGGATACTTGGAGGCTGATTAATCTCGATAGAGGTAGGATTAATAATGTCTCAATACCCTGCAATTTATCAACAGATGATTTTGTTTCATATTTTTCAACTATCGCCGGTATACTGATAGAGCAACTACCCGCAACCACAGCTTCAGCAACTGACTTTTTAAAATCACGGCCATCATATTCTAATTCATTTTTTTTCTTCCCCACTACACCTAATGAAGTTCTTGAGGCCATATCCGACATGAAAAGATCTCATAGTTATGACGTATATGGAATGAACAGTACCTTATTGAAGGAAATCAAATTTAGTAATGCAGAACCTATTTCAACACTCCGCAATCTATGTTTCATTAACGGAATTTTTCCTGACATCTTTAAAAAATCCAAAATTATCCCAATTCACAAGAACGGGAATGTAAACTCACCTGAAAACTATCGTCCTATATCAATTATTCCTATAATTGGAAAAATTATAGAAGAGACTGGCGAAATATTTTGAGGAAAATAAATAAAATAAACTCACGCCGTAACGAAACTGGTGAGCGATGTGGTCGATGCTTTTGAGAGAGGTGACCTAAGTAAAGCTTTTGACTGCATCTCGCATCAGGTATTATTACAGAAATTGGAATATTATGGTGTCAGAGGAATTGCTTACAAATTTTTCGCATCATATTTAACTCAACGAGTTCACGCGGTTTTTCATGGTTCAACATTATCCTCTAGTCAGGAAATTACTTGTGGTGTACCTCAAGGTTCAGTTCTGGGGCCACTTCTTTTCATTATTTACATTAATGATATATTTGAACATCTTCATTACATTAATGGTATTTTATTCGCAGACGATGCTACATTTTATCATTCCGATTCAAATTTAATAAATTTGAAAGAAAAAAACTTGTCAACTTTGCCAAATATAAATAAGTGGCTGATACCAAATAAACTAACACAAAATGAGATTGTAAGAGTTCGGCAGAGCCGTACTCTTAAAATCTGACCTGAAAGACCACTCACCATACAAACTAATCGGCGTCGTTAAGAAGCTGGATTTATTTGCTCGAGTGTGAATAGGTGTGAGCCACAATAAACCCTTAGGGGTTGCAGTGGAGGATCGAATAGATCCACTCACCTAATCTAACCTATGTTAAATTGATAATAAGCCATTCAATTCTGAAGCAGACTCCGGCTTTGCGAATGCCGCAATTTTTGAAAGTTTATTTCAAAAACATTTTAGAAATGAGTTACTTCAGAAAAATGATTTGCTTTCAAGAGATTATGTTGGAATTTCGTTCGAGCCGTTATGATTTTCAGAAGTCGAAGTTTTTTTACGAAGGTAAAGCTTTCATGTTGAAAATATATATTATTAAAAACGGAGGTCCACCATTAATAGGAAGAAATGGATTAACAATGTTAAACTTAGGAATAAGTAAAGTGAACAAGATCGAAAATAATCTGAATTATATAAGTTTTACTGTCAATCCTGATAATTTACTAATGAAGTACAGTGCCTTATTCGAAAATAATTTCGGCACCTGTAACAAATTTAAAGTTTCTTCGAAATTAAAACCAGGCGCGCCCGGTTCCATTCAGCTTGAAATCTAAAATAGAGAATGAATTAAAAAGATTAGTTGATAATGATATTTTAATGCCTGTCGAATTTTTCGAACGGGCAACACACATCGTTCCGATATTGAAACAAAATGTTCGGAGTTAGTGGCGATTTTAAAATAACCCTCAGTCCTCAACTGGAGGTACAAAGATGCCCTCTTCCGCGAAATGAGTATTTGTTTAATCAATTACAAGGTGGTGAAAAGTTTTCAAAATTAGATCTTTCTGCAGCCTACCAGCAAATGTTATTGCCAGAGAATAGTTCAAAAATGGTTACAGTATCCACCCACAAGGGGTTATTTTCTTTCAAAGATTAGAGTTAGTTTTACAACGTCTTCAAGAGTGCTTAAAAGTGCATTTTTCCAAGATTCGGTCTTCATAAATCGATGTAGAGGGTTTATGAAATAAAACAATGTCTGCAACCACGAAATATCAAAATGCATCAATGATTTTGCAGCCTTTATACTAAGGGAGTTGAATGGCAATGGACCACAGAGTGCCAAAATAGTTTTGCAAAAATAAAAAAATGTTATTGTCAAATACGGTTTTAGCTCACTATTATTCGAATAGACCTTTGAAATTAACGGTGTATTCTTCTAATTTTGCGATTGGGGCAGTGATCAGTCATATTTATAATGGCAATGTTGAACAACTTATTGCATTTGCAATAAGTTGTTCAACATGTTGACATCAGCCAAGATGAAATATTCACAAATGGAAAAGGAGGGATTGGCTGTAATATTCGGTGTGAAAGACTTTTTTCAATATTTGTATGAGAGATTTTTTTTCTTTTCATGCAAAATACATAACAAATATATTTGAAAAATTTATTCTGAATGACAATACAGCAGAAAACTAAATTTTCTAATGGTCTTTTTCTCTGTATATGAGCCATCATTTAACCTACCCTCTATCTTTTACCCTTTACAAGAGTCCATGTATAGATTAAAATTTCAATAGTCCTGTATTACAAACTTTCATATTGTTATCAACACTATATTTCATACATTGATTATTGGCGTGAATTTCTTTAATTTTTATTTTTTTTTATATTGTTATTCTTTTCCTTATGCTTCCTGGGAAATAACATGTTTATTGCTATTGTTGATAAATTTGTCAATTTTATCATCAAAGGAAATCAATTGATTCAAAACAATAGTTGTTTTTCTAACTCAATATTCTTCCTGGGACATCAATCAGGGTTTATACAAGCAAATAATAAACAAATTTGTGAGTAAGTTGAAATTTAGATGGGTTTAGCAAAATATCACTCCTTACAGTCATTAATAATCCTGCATCATAACAAAATTTATATTTCAATAGAATAAAAGATAAAGTAACAATGGATATTATTAAAAGAGAAAACAGACCATTTGTTGAATAAACAAACAGGTAAAGGTATCAGATAACAATACTTATACAGTACAGATAACAATACTTATATTGTTATGAATTATATTATTTGAATATGTTTGTTGAACTTTTCAGAATGCCTTGAAAGCAGTAATGATGAGATGAAATGATGAGATAGAAAAATAGCATGGAAAATTCTTAAGTCAGATAATTATTAGTCTGAAGTAATCTGTAACAGACCCCAGCATAACAGACAAAAACACTTTTACTGCATCAAATCTAAAGGGCTATCTCTCGATATTCGTTTCGCTAACCAAGTTAGCTCAATAAAAACAACTTCAATAAATTCTCAAAAATATAAATATTCATATAGGAAACTAAAATTGCAAAAATAAAAACTTCATATCGAGAATATAAACAGAGGAAATGAAATAAAGAGGAAACAATTTATGACATGAAATCAACAAATCAGTTGTATCTGGTAATATGGATACCATTGCAAGAATCACTTGATTAATTACTATCAACAGATGTGTAATTTTTTCATTTCTATTTCGAATTTAGTGAGAAGATTGATGTTTCGTGTAATTGTGTAGCCTATTAAAAAAATGTATTCCAAGGAAGTACAACGACTTTTTTCAAAACTCTTCTTATTTGTAAGGTTTTCAAATTATTCAATTGTCTGGTGAGATGATCATGGAGAATTGTTGATATATGTAATAATTGAATGTTTATTTAATTTTTTGTAGTACATTTCGTGGTTTTATTTTGTAATAACTTTATTGGTTTGGACAGAGTTTGTTGCACTACCCTAAACAGATTTTAAATATTGCATTTTAATGTGTTACTGGAAAAAGAAATTTTTATATACTTTAGAAACAAAAAGAAATACACACTATTTGATAACTTACTTCTTTTTAGGAGTCGATTAAAAATTAACAACGAATGTAGCACTATTTGATAGTATATACACTAGAAATACTACATACCGAATTTCAGCTATTCACTTCAATCAACGACAAAGTTACAGATTTTTGAACTGGTCAGACTGAGCAAGCGATTAAAACTCGTTTCAAAGAACATGTAGCAAATAACTGATTTCGGAGACAAAAAAATCTAGTTTCGCACAAAACGCCTTTCATGAGAACTATGAACAGCGACAAAGATTTCATATTAAACATTCCATTGTTTATTTCTATATGAATCATTCTGTTGAAATTAACGGAAACTTCATCTCCAGACTAAGCTACTTTGATTGGTGAAACCTGGGTCGGAAAAAATGTTGCAGTTCTGGTGTTTGGGAACAGTGTTTATTTTGGATTCATTCTATGCCAGACGTTCCAGTTATACCTTTCATTTCAGTATTCAATGATGATGTCGGGGGTATGTAATTACCCGCATTACCATCCCCCCTAATAACTCTGCCCTTGTCTAAAATGCTCAAATTTTTCAGTTTTGTGTTTATTACACTTGAGCAGATTTTACATCGATGTCGGTTTATTTATTATTCCCATTAGTAGAGGTTATAAGAAAAGTTCAAAAAACCAAAGAATACCAAGAACCACTGCAATGTAATGCTTTGACATCTGTTCTGCAATAGAATCTTGTTTGAGGCAATACATTATGCTTTCAATTTTACTGTCAGGTTTAAAATATATTTTCTCCTGTATAATCTGTAAAGGGTTCAAATTTGGCGACTTCATTAAAAAGATAATAATGATAAATAGAAAATTACATAGGTATAGGACAGTATAAGCCTTATGTAGAATCTCTTGTTTACAACTAGTCAGAATTGAGTGACCTGATTAGCTCTTTTATAATTATAACATTCTTTTTGTATCATTTTATAAATATGAGTTTATCAATTTTGAAGCTTCAGGTTATCATGTCTAACAAGAATACTATTTTCAATTATAAAAAACAAAAAATATAATCACATAAACAAAAATGATTATTTGTTCTGGAAAAATAACCAGTTACTTCTTTTGAAAACTATAACCATGGTTTTTGTTTGACATTGAAAAATAAAGCAAATTTGTATCAATACGTTTGAAATCCTACTGATCAGATTTTTAATTATTTCAAACCAGCCTGAAAATAACAATTTATTTGGAACCCCTCATGATTCACTTGAGTACATTATATTCAAGGAGGTCTGTAATAAAAAATCATAAAAAATACTCTCATTTTATAGCATAAACTTTTGTTTGATGGCCAAAACTGTTGTAACAGCAAAACATTCATGAAGGCCAACATAACAACTGTTATTCTATTCTCTGCATTCATGACAATGATAAAAAGTATCTCATACTGGTGACTTTATTGATGCAAGCTGTTGTTTATGATTAATTTTGCTGCAGTGTGCAAATAATCAATTCTTCAGATGACTACTGACCCATTGTTTGTATTGGTCTATCTAATCAATATATGACTCATCAGGAGAGTTCACCAGTTACCTATTAACATAGACTTACTTGTTGAAATTTTGAAAAAAGCATGTTCATGAAAAAGGAAATCTTACAATTATCAGTTAAGAATGTAAAAAAGGTAATTTTGACTCTACAGAAAAGTTTCTAATATACTGAGCTCATCTTGTCTATTATAGTATTGTTATGATGAAAGACATTTTTGTCTAATCTTGTTTTTTTTTTTCAGAACCATAATTCCTAATAGGTAAATCGAAACATAAGCAGTTTGATGAAAAATGGTTTTGAAAATAATAATCTATAGAATCTTATTGACAAAAACATACCTTGTGATTGAATACGTGCTGGGTTTCTTCCAAAAGTTTCCTGGACAATGCAACATCGAAGGGGTCCACTTTTGAACAAATATTTTGGGCAAGAACATTTTTCTTGTCACTATAAAATTCTTGGCGGAATTTCTCCAAGATATCTGCATTCAAAACTCCTTGAAAAATAAATCTCAGTTAAATATAAATCGCATGAACAACATCTATTATTATCACAGATAATGGAATGATTAGGTCAAATTTTGACAGATAAAGTACCTATACTTTAAAAAAAATGGAATTCAAATTATCACCTATGTTGGAATCCATTTCGATAAAATGTAGAATTCAACTTTATGAGCACTTTCACTTTTAATCTTCAATAGAAAGTTTTGAAAGTATTGTTCACAATCAAGAAGGAATAATGAATGAAATGAATAGTCAAATCACGATAAGATAAACAACCCCCCAAATTTCATGCTAAGCGCATGCGCCACAGCTGTATTGAAGACATGACTCAAATTAGAAGGGGTGGGGCAGTCTATTGCCGATCACAGAACGCCTTACTAGTTGCTTAGCCTTAGCCAAATAATAGAAAACATTTCTACCACAGGGGACGCTGGTGAGTTAAACCAATGATAATGTCAAACGGTAAACAGCTGAATGTTTTGAGTTACTTATTTGTGAAAAGTTTTTTTTTGCCGTTTCAGACATTCAAATCATGCCTCATTTCTATCGTGTTTTCTCTATGAATTCTTCTATTCAACTGACGATTACTTAGGAAATGAAAGGTTACGATTTTTTACTTTTTCGACCGTAATCTTCTTTCTTCAGACAAATGTCCAGTAACGTATATCTACTCCATGTACTGAATATTATTGAAGTGTTATTCCAACACCGAACCGTTATATTAACACCTCGACACATATTTCGATCACCAAGTGATCATCTTCAAGAAGAAGATTAAACTTAAGCCAGTTCAATTTTTCTTTTGAAGATGATCACTTGGTGATCGAAATATGTGTCGAGGTGTTAAACTCAAGCCAGTTCAATCTTTCTTTTGAAGATGATCACTTGGTGATCGAAACACGTGTCGAGGTGTTAATATAACGGTTTGGTGTTGGGATAAAACTCCAGTAATATACATTACTTCACCAAACATTGTATCACAAGTCCATGTACTGTTTAGGTTTAGGTTACGTTTACTCGCCAATTCCAAGAGTTCTTCACGTATATATGATACTTATAGGATATAACAACTCTTTTCACAGTGGAAGAGTGAAACAGTAAATGGAGTGAAATCATGATTTCACCGAAGAAAGTCAACAAAACGCACAAATTTTAAAATTCCTCAAAACCTTTCCAATGGATTGTTTCAACCAATAGAAACGGTATAATATATGGAATGGAATGATAGAAAAAGCAAAGATGCATAGAAACCTTTTGGTGTTTAAGCCAATCCGCTTTTGTTTTGTCATAAACTCTTGACGAGAGAGATGGGATTGACCCAAGTTTGTATATATGTTGATAGCTGGTGCAATCGAAAACTGTAGCTCGTATTTGATTCAGATCTTCAATTTATCAATCAAACAAATGCAACAAACATATCAATTCATTTCCAAATGTAAAAACATTGAAAATTGAAGTACCATTTTGACATTATCAAGCAGTGTTACTTTTGAGTGAACTCAGCACCTCTGTGAATGAAAGGCTGAAACTTATAGGATCTCTTTATTAATTTTTTTATCAAGCATGCTGTTGAAAGTCTTCGACAAAATATTTTGAATGGGAAAGGGGTGCACGCTTTGTTTGTTAACACCAGAGATATTTTATGCATCTTGGAAAAATTTATCGTATCAACACTCTATAAGTAACTACATGGTCAGTTATTATTCGAAATGTTTTCAGGGGTGCATCCGTATGCTATTTATGAATACTCGAAGTTTTGTTATAAACGTAGCTCATCCCATTTTCAATTGAACTAGGTTGGCTGACATAACAAGAGCCGGTGAGAGTAATGGAGCGAGGAAGAAGAGGAAGAGAGTAGAAGAAAAGGGGGCAAGAGGGAGAATGACAAATAGTGAATTCTCTGAAGTTTGAAAAGTGCTTCCAATAAACATCAGGCACCTTTATATATATTTTTTAAGAGCTGGACTGGAATACAAGAAAATCAACAAACTATAAATAATATTTATTAAATCATCTGTGCTCCATATGTACAATGTACAGTAATAAAATCTCCACTTTACATTCAATATTTCCAAAAGATCTCATTTTTATATCCTAAAATAAAAAAATCAATAGGTATGTTCAAATACAACTTGGAAAGCATTGTCCATTTTTATTTTTTTTATCTAATCACGAAATCAACAATCCTTGGAAATCATTTACTAAATTAAATAAGGAAAGAAATTCAAACATTCAGAAATGATCCAAAACATTCACATCGGAAAGTTTTTATTTTGAATTCAGTTAGTAGTATTGTTTTTTAATGAAAAGTATAAAATATGCTAATTGTGATGATAAATTAATTCAAGGGGTCAATTAAAATTGAAATCACCATCAATTTGAAAGGACTACAATCCTCAAATCAAAAAAAATCCAAGATACTAAGTAGGAACTTTAACAAAGTTTTTTCACTGGAAATGAAATTCGAATTCCTACTCACTGATCCAGTTTTTGTGCTAATTTCCAAGATTGTAAGTCAGAACTACTATTAAGTAATTTCTGATTGTTTTTCTACATATCAAGTCTGAATTATAATGTCAGAATTAGGTAAGACAGATACCAAGTCATAAGTCTTCTGGTGAGTCGACACTGATTGCTTACAATATACTAAATAAAAAATCGTCATCACTAAATAAGAATTCCAAATAAGTTGGGAATAAATAACGGAGGGGTGTAGGGCACATAAACATCCTACTCTGTTTTCATCTCAATTCAAGTTGAATATTACTGGAATTTAATCCCAACATCAAACCATTATTTTCAACACCTCGACACGCGTTTCGATCACCAAGTGATCATCTTCAAGAGAAAGAATAAACTGTTTAACCTTCCTGTGGAGGTGTTAAAAATAACGTTTGGTGTTGGGATTAAACTCCAGTATTTAATATTCATTACTAAACCAGAGGTTCCAAAAAGTGCATCACAAGTCAATTGAAGTTATTTGTAAATTAATGGAACATACATGATTGAAGCATTAAAATAGGTAAAAAAATTGGCAAGATAATATCAAATATTCATAGTAAAAAAAGGACAATGCCCACCATTACAAAATAAAAAATAACTTAGGTTACACTAAACCCAAAAAATATGCACAATAAAATTGTTATTATATCCAAAAAACATAACAAATAAACCTTGTATTACTATTAAAGCAGAGTATTTATATCCGAAATAAAATATTTCTTACTTTATACACGGTGTTTCGTTCTACGAATCTACAAATAAAAAACTTTAAAAGGCACCTCATAGCTGCTACTTTACATAATAATGTACAAAAAACAATTATTTAAGTAAGGACCCAGGCACTTTTTCGAAAAACGTCCATAAAAAAATATAAATACCCGATAAATGACTTTAGATTTGATTAACAAAGCAAACTGGTATCTATCATGAAGTACTTTCGGTGAAAAAAAAAAGGAAGATTTGACTTTTAGCTATTGGAGTTATCAACTGAGCTTGTCATCTTAAGAAGTGTTAGTAAAATTTCTTTATACGGGGTTGCACTAAATTTCAAATTTTTTTATTGCAACATATTTTTGTTCACTAAAACCGGTCAATCACACCTACTTTCGAACATAGTGTCAAAAAATTACTCATTTTTGGGGTCTCAGCCCTGGAAAAACCTGTAAAATAGCATACCTACAGTTTGATTCTTTAGTACTTACACACTGTATACAAACAGTTTAACTTTTTGAGACTAGAAAATTTTACGAGATATATCCTTGGTATAAAATGAAAAATATATTTTTTTTTAGTTTATAACATTTTCTTTTCATTTTCCAATAGGTCAATATTTTATTTTTATATCACTTAAAGTGCTTTTAAATCTTCAGAAGTAATAACATCCTTTCCCCACAATTTTTTAGGTTTGAGATTATAAGAGTTGATTGTTTCGTCTCCATTCAATATGAAACACGAGTACAAATATTTTTTAGGCGAATAATTACCTTTTACGAAAATAGTATACTCAATAGTGAAAAAACAGTGTGATGTGTACAAGAATATAAAAATTGAAAGTTGATAAATATGAAATAAAGCCTTGAGAATAGTGATGTACATTGTAATGAAGCCTTCGGTGACTTGTTGGAATCAATTTATGATAGTGTTTAATAATTAACATGACTTTGCAAATATTGTTTTGTGGAAGACTCCATACTTATTACTTTTTTTGGGTATACAACCATCCACAATCTAAAAAATGAACAAAGTAAAATCAATGGGGAAGTAATAAATGGCAAACTGAAAAGTTTACCCGGAAAAGTTACTGGGGGATAACAACTGAATAGTCCAATTGGTCAGTAACCTTTCATACTCACAAATTTTGCCAACTAATTCAAAAAGCAATCGAAAAAAAAATTCTTCACTTAGCTTTCTTTTGTGGTGGATGTTTCGACCGTTAAATTAATTTTTTCAATTTGTAAGAAAAATGTATTAATATGTACGTGTCTATACTCTCTCCTGAAGAACTATTGTATAGCGAAACACGTGTTTGGTTTTTATAAAACTGTTCAATGAAAATCTCACAATAACTTGTTGATTGAATACGTTATGAATTTTCATCAAGTATCGTCCGATTCCACGACATCTGTTTAAAAAAATCTCTCTCAGAAGTCGAAATTTGTGAGAGCTAAGGACTAACGACTTCTTACATTTTAACGTGTGATTCCTAGCACACATTTCAATATTCTGATTTGAATCGATTTTTGAATTGAGAGAAAATAGCTGATTCAGATCTTAAATTTAAAGTCCTTTCACCCCTGGTAAAAAATATTCTCTGAATTGGTTCACAATACTCTTATTCCTTATACCCTTATCAAACCGTCGACATTTTAGTGTGATAATGACTGTAACCTTTACTTTAGCCTTTCAGGCAGTTGAACTTGGAGTCACATGATGGATTATTGGGAATCCGAAAGTAGATCAGATTAACCATCTTTCAAATGCATAATATGTGGACAAAAATACATTACGGTATATTGAAAAAAATGAAATTCAACAAGGGCCTACATATCGAAAGTTTACCGAGGTGTTTGCGTTCGATTTCAATACCACACAGACTGTTTCAGAAATGTTTTTTCTGACTACCCATTATCATTTCCCATCAGACTCATCAAGAAGTCAAACTAATTTTCACTTGAGTATGTTTTTTCAACTTCCCCAAAAATACCTTTTATTGGATAGGGTTCTATTCACAAGAAAGGACCGATCTTATACACATCCAACGTTACAAAAATGAAAACTATATATTAAGAAAAAAATACCTCAAAGTGTCTTGTGACGGTAAACTTTCACAAGAGTAACGTTCGACAATCCATAAGATCAATACTTTAAATTCCCCTCTCTCAAATAAACTAGCCTGCTGTCCAATGAATCAACATAAACCATTTCCTTTCATTGCTAACTCCTCACTGTATTGACTATCATTATTTTTAACGCTTTGCTTGAAATTTGATCCCATCACTCTCTCATCTACCTTGAATGTACATGGCATTTTATTTACACTTACACTTATGTCTTTGACTGCAGTACTATCGGAGGAAGTCTTCGTAGAAACTCCGCTCGACGACATTTCAGAAACCTCAACCTTGATCTCTGACTTAATTTCGAGAGGAACCTGTTCGGGAACGACGGCTTCATCAAACTTCTTATTTTCCGTAGAAACTGAAGATTTGTTTTCAGAAGGATTGTTTTCAGAAGATGATTCGTTTTGTTTCGCGGTGAAAGTTTTAGAAATATTTGTGCAGTTGTCATTACTTATCGCTCTAGGTGAATCTTTCATAGATGAGCTTGTCATGTTGTCAGATGAGCTGTTTGGGAAGTTTTTCTCTGAAGAGTTAGAGACGTTGCTCTCGGCATCATTTTTTGCGGGATGGGTTTGAGGTACATTGATTTGTGATGGTGCTGAGGAAGAACTAGCAGGAATACAGGAATTCGCTTCATTCCTAACTTTCTGCTCGGATTCATTTGCAGACCCGCTTTTCTGTTGCAGAGTGGAATCCTTACTGGCTTTTATAGTCTCCTTTTGTTTGCTTCCACTTTTTTCTTTTTGATGAATTCCGCTGTTGATGAGGACGTTGGAACTGATTGAAATTTCGTTCTTGGCCCCAATGGCTTTATGCCGATTCTGGGTGAGCTTTTCAACGGCATTTTCTAGACTCTTCTCGTTCTTTGAATCTCTCGAACTTTTCTTGGATGATGTCGGCGGTTTATACGTATTCGGTGATGGTATTAAATTATGGGTGCGCGATATGGAAGATATGTTTGAAGTAGTGGTTGCAGGTCTGGATGAAACCTAAAAACAATTTTAGAGTTACTATAAAAGTATCAACGTATCAAAAAGTAACAAAATAATTTCATTCAGAGGACTATATGAAGAGTCCATGCAGAAACACGTTCATTGAAAACAATATCCTAACATTAACATCTATCTATCTCTACAAATTATTAATATATATCCATCAAAATGCTAAAAATAAGAATAGAAACAGTGACTACCATGAATATGATACCAGACAGAAGAATGACTTCCATTTGCACCACTTGCAAAGAAAGCAACATATAAAGAGCCCTCTATATTCTGGAGCACATTTGTTCAATTTTTTGCCTGAAGACTTGAAACTCATCACGAATATGAAACATTTTAAACTATCTTTGAAAAAGTTTCTCATCCGCCATGCCTTTTATTCATTAGACGAGTATAAAAAACGTAGCGACTAGGCAGTTCAATTTGTAACGACTAGAATGTTTGTGATGTTTTTTTTCTTAATGTTTATATAATGATAACTTTTCCCTCTTTATGTACTGTGACTTATCTCATGTTGTAAAGCACCCATAAGAGATTAAATATCTATATATCTATCTATCTATCCAAGACATTTTCCATTGATTGACTATGATAATGAAAGATAATTTCAAGAATGTCATTTAGACAAAAACTAAAATGAATTCATATATCTGAAAAAACTATCTACTTTTCAACTAACAGAAAACTATTTCCCTCAGGTACCAGAGGAAGCCCCTTTATATCAATATTCAATTCTGGTATGAAAAACTATCCTATCATAATATAAAAAAAAATTATATGAACTTTAAATTAATCAATTTTAGTATAAATGACATGAAAGAACCGAAATCTCTGGCGTGAAATAAATTATTCACAAACAGTTCTCTCATACTCTTCAAGACATAGGTTTCACCAACAACGTTGGTGATTTATACGTGTCTGATTTATACAAAGTTTTTAATTTATGATCGGTTTCTGTTTGTTAAACCATTCTCAAGTACTTGAGAGTGGTTTACAAAACTGAAACCGGTCATAACAAATAAAAAACTTAGTAGAAATCAGACAAAAGTTATTTTTATTCTATATTAGTGTACCTATTGACACCAACCTGGTTGGTAAAACCTACATCGGGAAGAGTGTTCTGATTCTGGTGTATGAGAGATAATAATAATAATAATATTTATTCACCATTTGTGATACATAGCGTATATATGGTAGGTCAATGATTATTTACAAAAAACAGTACGTCACTTATGAATAAAATTATGGGATCAAAGCTTGAATAAAAATTAATATTTGCATATACAAAGGTATAGGTACATATAGATATATAAAATGCTAATTAAAAAATGAGTAAAAAAAAAATGTGGCAATTTTGCTTGCCATAGTCAAATAAATATACATATGTATATATTTACATACAACATATATTTACAAACATGTACACACATATTAAAAAAAAAAACGATAAAATTGCCAGTCAGAACACTGAAACTCAAAACAGCAAGTGAAAATTTAGAACGATTATATATCTTATCATCCTTCTGTGAAAGAATCCTCTAAATATTCCTTATGACTGTAGTAACATTTGTCCAGTAATAAGTTTTTAACTTTCCTACTGAACAAAGTTGAAGAATTCAATCTCTTTATAGAAAGTGGCAGTCTGTTATAAAAAATTATGGCATTATATAATGGAGATTTTTTGAAATGATCACTCTTATGTGAAGGGACCCTCAGAACAGTAGCATATCGAGTATCACGACCGTGAATGCTCAAGTTCGTTATATACAAGTCAAGGTTCCAGTGCACAAAAATGACACATTTCATTATATAAATTGCGGGTGCAGTCAACAAGCGTTCTCTTTTGAAAACGGGTCTACAACTTTCTTAGTACCCCAGGTTGAATATCAATCTTATCAGTCGTTTTTGAGAGATGAAAACTCTAGAAAATTCCTTTGCACATCCCCAAGCCATTATGTTGAAACTAATGTGAGAGTATGCATTCACAAAGTAAACATTTAGTAAACCAAACCTATCTAAACAATGTTTCAACTGTTTGATCGAATTGGATTGGATCGTATTGGATAAATGACATATTTACCCAACATATTTACAGGCTTGAGATAAAACAAAGTGAATCTATTATGACATTCAAAAAAGGATTTATTAGTCATTTGAATATACAACATTCACATCAACGTTGATATTATAATAACATATAAATCTAGTATTTGTAATTTACATTGTTATTTTTCCTATTTATTGAAAGCTTGGATAATTCCGATCATACATATTTTAGTGTTATGAAGTTGGACTGTGACTTTGTCTATCCAATTTTAAAATGTTTTTGTTATATCAGGATGCCTATTTGAAATAAATATATTATTATTATTAGTTTTTACAACGATTCTCTTTTATTGGACCAATAATGTTTGCGACTTCTCACCTGGTTATTATGCATCTGCTGCGATAAGGCACCCATTTTAGGACTAGTAGGCGACGACAGCATATCCAAATTCTTCCTCTGCTGATTCAGATCCAGACTCAATCCGGGTAGGGGAGCTGTTGGGAAAGGCATCCTCTGCCCGTACCATATGTTATGGTATGCTGCCATCACCCTGGGGTCATATGCTGGAAATCCGGGAGGGGCCGTTGGATACAAGAACTGATTCGGACTTAAGGTTGTCGATGTTAGGTTAGGAATGAAAGGGTTTGATGGCGTGAAGTTCAAATTCATCTGGAATCAAAAGAACGTCATTAAGCTTAAACTACATCCAGAATTTTTGACATTGAAAGTCAACATATTGAAGAATCCAATATGTGTCCAATCCAATATATTTTATTAACAATAAATGAGTAATCATTTTGAAAAGATTTCATTTATTTGCTGACACCAGTTCTCTTGGAATTCTTCAAACTATGGATAATAGTTCTCATCATGAGTTTCACAAAACGCTATGGAATCGAAAAAAAATTAAGTATTAACTCTCTATAGTAAAACCAATAATGATTGAGAGTAAAGCGCGTTGTCATATCTAAATTTTACGTTACCAGTTTATATTATAATTACCACGATTATTACTCCGTTTTCATAAGGCCCACCTAATGACTACAACGATTAGGTAAATTACGACATTGCAAAGTTTTAATGAAATAAATAAAAAATGTGTATGAATATTTTAACTAATTGTACTAAGATATTTTCTTTCATTCTTAACCCTCTCAAAAATTAATAAGCACGCCCCCGATTTGCTGTCAACTGGGCTTACTTCTACTCTCAATCATTATTGGTTTTAGTATACATCCAGAATTTTTGACATTGAAAGAATCCAATATGTGACATATTTTATTAAGAATGAACGAGTAATAATTTTGAGAAGATTTCATTTATTTGCCATATTCCACTGCCGACACCAAATCTCTTAGAATTCTTCAAACTATGGATAATAGTTCTTATCATGAGTTTTAAGAAACGCTATGAAATCAAGCGTGCAGTAAAAAATTTAGTATTCTCTCTAGTGTATCAAATTAAAATTGTGTTCAGTTAACTTTGATCAAATGGTTAAAAATAGACCATTCAACTTACTGTGGCAATCACCAGATTGATTAATATGTACTTGAAAGTTCTCACCTTTTCCCTTTTGGTTCCTGTAGGAGAGCTAGTGGTCTTAGGCTTAGGCGAGTGAGGACTCTTAGGAGATTTCCTTTCGTTTTTCGGCGAGCTTTGAAGCTTCAACGGACTGAAAATAGATACTGAACTGGTATTAATTTTGAGGTCGTTTTGTATACCATGCATTGCCATGGTATTCAAAGAACTATTCAAACTTTGATTCGAATAATTCTGATTGGGGAGACTGCGGTTAGATAAATTCTGATTATTGGCGCTGTGGTTACTCAGACTCGTCATCTCAGGTGCTTTTTCTGAAACGGGCCTCAATGTCTTCGGGTCGATCTTGACTATAGAATGCTTTTTGATTTCGCTTTTTTCTGTTTTAGTTGCTTCCTTATTCTTCTCTTTTTCGGGATTAACATGCAGCTGGTACATCGGCTTCACACCAGATGCTGGATTGCCTTGAATGGAAACAAAATGAAAACAAGATTAATATACGAAATGGTTGCCTAAGAGTGTCAATCGCCTTTATGATTTGAGAAATATAAATATTGTAATGAACAGATCCAGTTCCATTACACACAGCATATACAAAAATAGTTATAAGTATGAAGAAATATAGATACATAGATAATAACAAATAATTAATCGTTAGATAGAATCGTACTTGACTGAGAGATTTCAAGTGGTAGAATGCGAAGAATCTCGTAGTCAAAAAATGAAATTGATAAGAGGACTTCCTCAGGGCTCCATATTAGGACCACTTCTCTTTCTTATATATATTAATGATCTACCACATTTCTTGAATTCATCAGATATTAAGACTACCATGTATGGGGATGATGCAACCTTGAGCAGAGCAGTGGACAAACTTAAAACTCCTCAACATACCCTAAATAATATCCTGGACAAAGCACGATCTTGGTTTGGATCAAATGAATTGATTTTAAATGAACAAAAAACAGAAGTACTAACTTTTGAAACAAGAAACTCAAACCAAGCTGATAAAACTGCAGTTAAATTTTTAGGGGTTTACATTGACACACATTTATCGACTAAATATAAAGAATTATACCTATCGTACAGACATACACCATCATGATACTAGAAATAAATCAGACATCGTCATGCAAGCAAATAGACTGAAAAAGACTGACAATATTGGCCTTAAGCTATACAATACTCTGCCACTAGACTTTCGCTATTTGTCATTCAATAGATTTAAGTACTCTCTGAAGTTTTTTTTAACTGAAAATCCTCTGTATGATATCAATGAATTTTATGGAAGTGTCCAATTGAATAGAGATGCCTTTAATGTGGACACCTAAATAATAGGTGTGTTCCCAGTTGACTAATATGTATGTGTATTGTAATTTAAATCAAATGTTTGTACTGAACTTCTTAACGATCTTGATATTCTTGATGATCTCAATATAATTTTTTTCAACCTTATGATTACCATCTAATTCTCAAATTCAATCATGTAATGTAATTTGTTTTAATGAGTATGTTGATTTGTTTTAATGAGTATGTCTTCGTATTTTTGTTTTCTCAATTCATGACCACCATTGATTGTGGAATCTTAAGATGTATATAGCCTGATTTTGATTGCGCCATTTGTTTTGACATGTCTATAAACCTTGTGTTTCTCAAGACGAATAAAGAAAGATATTATTATTATTTCCTCAACCACAAAGATAAATAACAGATTTACTGCCACAGCTAGCTAGCTTTAATAGATATAGCTCACCACCATTTTTTATATTTATTCTAACTGTATGTTATAAGTTTTGTTGGACTTTTATCTTGTAAATAAATGGTTTGGAGAGGAGATTAATGTGTGTTGAGAGCTCCTAACAAAATTTTTATATTCTCTAAAATAATGGAAAGAAATTTCAACTCCTCCCCAAATTAAAGATTCGGCAAAAGAGGAAGAATATAATTTGTCAACTATAAATTCCAGAAAACTGTGAAATATGTTGTTCAATTTTTGGCATAGCCGGGGCACGTAGAAGTGATGGAATGGGAAAAGATGAAATTGAAGATATGGGTAGAAAATTATGTATTACTCTTCCTGACACGATAAAAAATTACACTCACTTACTGTAGTGGAACATTCAACAACTTTCAAAATTACTAAACCCACACGAATTTACTGGTCATTGTTTCCGCAGAAGTTGTGCTACATTATTAGTAGAATCTGGGGCAGATATACCCACGTTGAAAAGGCAAGGGAGTTGGAGATCATCAACAGTAGCTGAAGGTTATATTGATGACTCTATAACTGCAAACACCAATGTTTTTGAAATACTTTTTTCGGATCCCAACCTTGACTCAACCTTGTGAAAATATTCTTCTAGTGTAATTTCAGAATATCAAAAGGCTACTTTCATTTTTTTATTATAGATATTTTATCACTTGTCCGTTTTCTAGCGAAAAATTTCATCATTACTGTTTAAGCAATGTACTATGAGGCCTCTTTCTTACAAAAAAATGTTAAATTTAAAGAGCTTCATAGGTTAGCGGTTTATTTATCAAAGTGTATGTCATTTCTACTAATGAAACAGAATCACCATCTAAGAACTGACCAGTATGGATAATAATAATAAAATCATTAACAAATGCCAAGAAAGATACATGTTCATACCGGAAATTTAAAAAAATAACCAACACGTGTATGAAGTAGTATATAAAAAAAAAATTAGGAAAGGTTTTTTGACAGTAGCTTTTTAGTGGACAAATTTCAAGAAATTCAACACAAGTACAATATAATTTGTATTTTACAGGCTAATTATCTCCATCACCAAGAGGTACATACAAAAAAGTTAACAATTAGTTGGATTTGCAGGACAAAAAATGACCAAAGTCAATAAGAGTTGAAATGAGCTTTAATAGAGAAAGAAACTGGAGGCTGAAACGTCAAAAACATATCTATTAACTGAAAAATAAAATTTCAAGTAATACTCACCTAGGTATCGAGGCATATTATTCCTCATTTTGAAAAATTTCGCAGGACGAACATTCTTCAAATCAGAATATTTTGGCTCAGGACTAGATTTTGTCAAGTTGGCTTTAGAAATCTGAGAGTTCCAACTTTTTGGAGGGTCCCTCAACGTTTTATAACCAATCGGACTGCTGGGTTTTGTTTTTATGCTGAGCTTGCTGTTGCTGTTCTGAATGCTGATTTGTTGTTGTGGTTGAGAACTACTAGTGGTAGCAGGTTTGGAGCCATCACTTTTTCCAGGAGATAATGAACTACTGGCAATTCCATCTTGTTGTGATCTGCAGTTATTACTGCTGAAAAAAATGTGTGCAAATATTTGAAAGGTTGAATTTTACTTGCAAAAATGAAACAGAATAACATTAGAAATGAAGTTTTTGCCAGGTTTCAAATTTATTAAAAAAAAACTAAATTTCGAAATAAAATTTCAAAGATGAATAAATCACATCGAATAAGAGTTTTATTTACTACGCACGATTTTTCTAAGATACTCTATGTATTTGTTATAAGTGACAGTTATCAGATTATTTGTTCACAACATTACTTCAACTAAATATGAAGAAAACTAAATGGAAAATGAATACAATAAAAATAGCAAATGACTTTCAAATGATAAACAAAACTCAAACATAGACAATACTATACATATTTTTGAAGAGATTCTTCATTGGTGTGATGAATGATATTCGGTAAGGATAGAAAAGACGGCCCAGTTTTATATTTCACATGATTTATGTCAACGTCATTAGTCACAATAATTGAAAAATGAAATTAAACTACTAATTTTTTATTAGCTTCGGTCGTTTGGTTTTTTATTATTTTTTGTTCTTCAAAGGACAATACGAAAAAATAAAAAATTAGTAACGAAATTTCATTTTTTTTATTTGTTGTGACATGGAATATAAAACCTGGGCCATTACTTTCGTCCTTATCAAATATTGCTAATTTTAAAACTTTTTATTTATTGAAAAGAAGGTCGCCAGACATATTTGAATTAATATAAAAGCTGAAGAGTTCTACAATTCTTGTGATACTTACTGATTGAGACTGTTGCTGGTCACAGGCTTCGGAACATTTATTATAGGATTATAGCTCGATTTGGGCATATAACAAGGTGGTTTCACACTCCCATAACTTGCTAAAGGGGATTTCGCAGAAACTGTTGAAGGTTTCAGAGTCTGCACAGGAGATTTAGCCAACGAAACAGGAGTTTCAGATTTGCTTGATTGCGACTGCGCAAACATACCACTTTTGTTCATCAAATTTGCTTTTGAAACAGTAGTCTCACTTGTAGTTGTTGTAAACAGATTCGTTACTGAAGAGAGTAGTTCGCTTTCTGAGGTGATTGCCTTCGTCAATGTCCCTTCTTTGACATTTTCTCCATTCCTGTTCAACTTTGAATGTTTCTTCAACGGGTGATTGTTTGAGAGATTTTGAAGCCCCAACGAGTGATTGAGAATAGTCTGTTTTGGCTGCTTAGCAGGGGGTTCGGTATCCACTACCGCTATGTTTTTTCTTTTCAAATTTTTATCACAAGTACCGTCATTTGCAGTAGGCGGCGAACTGGGTTTCAGCTTTTCCTCTATGGCCCCTTGTTTGGAGCTCATCTCCGAGGGCAGCGATGAAGCGGAAGATATTAATTCTTCACTTTTGGTGCTGCACTTCGAACTGTTGATGGTGCTGTACACTGTAGTTGTCGCTGCAGATGAAAAAGTGGCGCACACACTCAATGGCGTAGATATTGCAATGTTCATATGTATCGAATCAGATACAGTTGAGACACATGAATTAAAAATGCCAGAGGTATTTGGAGGTACCAAAGTGATTGATTTATAGTCAATTTTCAATTTTGGAGGGATGTCCTTAGTGGTGGTTTCAATGTTTGTAACTGTGGTGGGCGCAGTAGAAGTCGTTGTGCTCGATGTTGTTGAAGAATTACCTGGAACATTATAAGTGAATGAGACAAATAATAAATTCTTTGAACTTTCATACAAATAAAATTTAATTTAGTCAAGGGAGTGGACATTCCATATTGACAAAGAAAATGTAAAAATTGAATTTATTTTTGTAAAACAATTAATGAATGACCAAATGACCAAAGTCTACAAACGAATTAATGAAGGGCAATCAACCGCGGCAGTATTCTGCGACCTAACCAAGGCCTTTGATTGCGTAAATCACCAAATTCTGTTAGACAAACTTGATTATTATGGTTTCAGAGGAATTAGCCTGCAGTGGTTTAGATCTTACCTGGAGAATCGTAGCCAGTTGGTAAAAACTGACCACTATTCACGTATTGGAGCTACTAGATGTGGTGTGCCTCAGGGTTCGGTACTGGGACCTATTTTATTTTTGTTATATGTCAACGATATCTCCCATTTGAATATATCTGGGAGGTTCACGTTATTTGCAGATGATACCACTATACTTTGGCACAGTAGTGATGAAACATCTTTACACAATGTAATACAACGTGATCTCGAAACAATAAGAACGTGGTTTGACAATAATCTCCTTGTACTCAACATCTCCAAAACTAACTTGTTAACCTTCAAATGTGAATTGGACGCAATCATTCTTGATTCAACTAATATTGACAACTCCCCCTGCACAAAATTCTTGGGTCTTCATATTGACAGTAACCTGAGATTCGATGAACATGTTAAAAAACTGTCTAAAAAACTATCCTCTGGGTGCTATGCCATTAGAGTTATCAATAATGAGGTAGGATTTGCAGCAGCAAAATCTGCCTACCATGCATTAATTGAATCGCATATAGGTTATGCAATTGCTCTTTGGGGTGCATGCAATAAAAATTTATTACAGATGATCCAAGTTGTACAAAAAAGAGCCATTAGAGCCCTCTTCAAGATTAAGAGTCGCAAATCGTGCAAAGAATACTTTAAAAATCACCAAATCCTCACAGTGATCTCTATTTTTATATTGGAAACATCTTGTTTGATTCATAAGCACCATGATCTATGTAAAGGAGCGTCATCGTCTTACAATACTCGATCTTCCCAAGACTCGACTCTTATGTTGCCTATACCCAAAAGTCGCCTCGTAAAGGACTCTATTATATATAACGGCTTGAAAATATACAACTACCTTCCAACAAGAATTAGGGAAATCAAGAATTATAATAGATTCAGAGGTAGTGTGAAGGTTTTACTCTTTGATCATCCCTTCTATAGCTTGGATGAATTTTTTAAAGCCAAATTATCTGAATGAACTCATTATCCATATCTGTCATTGCTGAGGCTCAATTATGTGAATATGTATGTATGGATGGGTGTATATATATATGTACCATTATTTACTCTAATTTAATCAGATCCTGTGTTTATTTGTGTTTATACATCTGTGTTATTTTAACAATATTTTAACATACATCCATGTACGAAAACTTACTTTGTCAACAAGAATTGTATTCTTTCGACAATAAAGCATATTCTGAATGTGTAAGGCTAGTTAATGGGCTTATTTCATGCTATGGAAAATGATACTGGTTTGCTTATAGACTCCTCGAGTTAGGGGTATATTATACTTATCAAGCCTAATCGGTCCCAAAATCTCTTTATATTTGCAGAAAAAAGAATAATTCGAAAAGCAAGAATTTAAATTGGCCGCGTGTCTGTTGACCAATAAAATTGATCGTATCTAGAGCGGAGTTGCCAAGTGTATTGGTTTTTAATATCCAATGACAGATCTGATGATCCAATTTGACAGAAGTCATTTTTGTTGTTATTGTTATCAACTCGGTATGAATACAACTGTTACAATTATCTAATTAAAGAACTTTTTTTGTAAAAGGTAGGTCTCGGCGGGTGCCTATTTTGCTGCATATTCCGTATCATTAGTTTACATTCCGAAAAATATTATTTCAGGTTATTTTTGGATTTATATGTTCTGGAGTAATTCTACATTTCACTGTACATATTTTTGCTTCTCTTTTCAGTCACCATACTGCTCCTTGGCCGGGATAAAATAAAAATTAAATAAAAATTTTCCATCCTTCGATAAAAGACAAAGTCTGAAATGAATGTCATATAAATAAAAGGGACCCACTAAATATACCACCTACCGTTTCAATTTTTCATTCTTCATTTCGCTACCAAAGTATTACAAATTTTTCATGTGAAATTCATCGATTATTTCAAAATCGACTTTTGGTAAGTTGTCGGGAGTCAGCTTTAACAAAACTAGGCTCAACATTCATTTTGAAATTATTTTAAGAAAAATGTGATTGTCGCACATTGTCGCATACACTACAGAGTCCGCTGGCTGACAATATGGCTAATATACCAGTAACATTGAATTTCTTATTTTTGGTGGGTGGCATGAATGCATAATTGATTTATTTTATTAGGGTTTTATGCCTAATTCTTGGATTCGAGCGATCTTATTATTGTATATTTATTTGTTTGCTGGCTTTATTCTTAAAAAAAATTAATGAATAATTACAGAAAATTTCAATTGATCGTTCATTTTCTCAGGAAAATGGAGTACCCATATCACAATTTATTGGTTTATTCGGCATTGAAAATGTATGTCATATCGGATCCATTCTGCTTGTTTTTGCAACATTNTTGCAGTTGTACAGATTGAGGATTGTAGAATAAATTGAATATTTGAAATGATTCTCTAATCCAGTTTGCTATATTTTTTCATTTTCATAACTGTATATTATTAAATAATACATAAAATCATAGTTTAGGTAAATATTTTGTGATTTATCGACTTTTTGTACTGATTTTAGATATAAAACTTATTTCCAAACATGATTTTTCGTGTACATTTTATTCCATGTGAAGAATTTTTCATTATTTAAAACATTAACGGGTTCATATACACTTCCATGATTAAATTGATAATTATAGGCCCCGTAAATTTTACGATTTGGCAATGTTCATTATTTCTATTGTTCCTACTGGTTAATCGAACAAGAAGCGGGAATAGGGCCGTGACGTCACCACCTTACATTTGATTTTTAATAATCATTTACGGGAAAACTACGGTACTTATAGAGATGAAACAAAGTGCACTGTTTATCAATTTAAAATTTCTATCAAGTGAACTATAAACCAAAAATCATGAAACATGCCCATTCAACATTACCAGAGTTAGTTCAGAAAAGTTAGACAAAAGTAAATTTCACTCTCTTTTTGCGGTTTTGTAAACTGTTCAGTGAAAATGACACAATAAAGTGTTACTTGAATACGTAATTGATTTTCACGCCAGAGATGATTAAATTAGATCTCAAATCATACCTTTACCGATATACTTCAGGGCAGGCAACTCCTTCTTTCCTGTGATCTTGTTAGAAGGCTTCGACTCTTCAGGTGCCGCACCATTTTTGTACTTTAGTTCGCTATTTACAATTTCCATCAGAGACGGACTGAGAGCACTGTCCTGAATTCCGGTTATGGACATTTCTCCATTTTCGCTGATACGTAACTGCACTTCCTTCCAATTATTATTATTGTTCATCTGAGTTGCTTCCACATATTCTGGATCCAGTTTTGGTTTTTTCGAAGCCCGCTCATATATCCTATATGTGAGCTCTATGGGCCCTTTCTGAATAAAAAAATAAATTGTAAAATACTGAATAAATGTCAACATCCAGCTTACCCTCTTCCACAAATAAATATATGCTACATCCATTAAAGTTAATGAAGGGTTAAGGCAATCTTGATTGTAAAAGATATCGACCCGATGGTCTTCTGAAAGGTCATATTTTGCCCAGATTAATTTTTTCAAATGTGCCATGGATACAGCTGCCGGACACCGCAAATATCTGTAAAAATTTTGTTAATAATCAGTTGGTTAATGTTCGGTAGAGGAAAAAATGATCAAATTTATTGGGAGCAGCTCAAATATCATTTGAAAACTTTATTTTTTTAAATGCTGCTCAGTAAATACAAACCTAATTTTGTTTTAAGGAAAGTAATAAAATGGAAGAGAAATTAACGTGATTAAAATCAAAAGTAAAAAAAAAATAATGAATATTGCTATAATACAAGGTATAAAGATCGATTACCAATAAAAGCAATAGTGAATACAACACAAAAACCTCTCTGGGTCCTTCAATAAAGTGAGAATCAGTGTTTAAAAAAAAGAGCTGGTGTTCCCTTCATCCTTGAATAGAATTACCTTTCCTAATTTGAAGCTTATAAGAAGTTCTCAAAAAATGTAGTCTGATATTCGGAAAATAAACTAAAATGACAGCAGCTGAAGTGCATATTTACTTTTATTTCTCCAGCAACTTCAAAATCAAGAATGACAAGCCAGATTTTTTAATGGTGGTAGTTTTAAAATAAATGAGATAAATAAGTCTACACCAGATGAGGTCAACACCAGCTCATTTTTTTACACATAGATTTGATTTCTATATTACTGATTTACACCCAATCCATATTCTAGATACCAGGTGCCTTATTTATTAAAGTAATGACGTATCACAGAACTTCTTGAGAAGTTGCTGGAGTACATAATGAGGATTGCTTGAATGCCTTAATGAAATCTGAAATGATCTGACGATCATTAAACTGTCGACGATCTCAGGAATGGCAGATAAACATGAACACTTTATTATTATTACTGTCAGTACCTAGGCCTATCTTCGGATCCGTGGTATGCCAATGTCAAACAAATAGTTTCTTCCGGAGTTAGAAGATGCTGGTACGTCGCCTCTCCACACTGTTCCAAACTTGAAGGTTTGGATTCAGGGTGACTGTCATAAAATGCTCGTCTCTTCTGCATTTCATCTGAAGAAAAAACAACCGTTGTATTCCAAAACAATGTTTTTGATATGACTTAATTTAAATCAATGATTTATTTTAATGTTGGCCCTACTGTCATGATTTTGATGGTAAATTATTCAAGTCAAACCAGGCTATCAACTTTGATACTTGAAAACACATATATGATAATGAAATCCACCAATACTTCATGCAGAAATATCATATCCTACAAATTCTTATATTGTTATATTTTAATGAAAGTACTACTGATGCAATTCATATATTATTAAATTGAAAAAAAAATTACTGATGAAACAGGAAAAAATTCAACATAGGATTTCGTGTTACCAGCTGCAAAATGAATTTATCGACGAAAGCAACACAGGCATATAATTAATATTCAATTCATGATGTCTTCCAGGTACTCACTTTGAAATAATCTCGGAACCAATTTGTAGACGAGGTCTTGTATAGTTTTATCCGGCCTGATGTTGAGTAATGGCTTTGTTTTGTGAACTTGCACATCGCAAACTGGACAGTACTTATTCTTCTCTAAGTATTTAACAATGCAACTTCGACAAACTGAAATGAATATAAGACGAAACTTCAGCATGTTACAAGCAATTTATAAAGTGCAATATAATCTATACTTCTACGTTTATTCTATATTTGAATTTTGTAGACTTTGTCAATAAGAAAATCTTAGGACTATAAAGTATATTGTAATTGGTTGAAAAACATAAAACTAATTAGTTCTTAAGTACTATACATTGTAATGACAGAACATTGAGTGGTTATTATTACAGCTACCTCTGATTTTTTGAAAAAAGTTACTAATTTTCTTTCAATTGATTTTAATACTCAGTAGGTATTTCTCATATAATCAACAGCAACTCACTTCTAGTAATTAAAACTCTCAAAATGACATCTCCTTCAAGGATCAATATCGTGGACCTTTATTCACCCATTTCAAATATTTCAACAGAATAAAACACTTCTTTTTCATCAAAATAACCCTATTTTGGAAGTATGCTCTGAATGATATTGTCTCTTCATTCAAGTTTTGATTATTTGTTTCACAATAAGTAAAAGTCAAGAAATGGCAATCATATTGCCAGGTTGAAAAAATTCCTTAGTTCTGCCTTAGAAAACAAAAAGATCAACTTTTTCAAAGTTTTCTTTTTTATTGTGTGAATGATACTTTATTATCAATGCATCCTTCTTTCAAATAAAACACTATATAAACTACAAAAATGGAATCAATTATGGAATAGTGGCATTTCTTATATTTTCGATAGTCCTATACTTTTGACAAAAATACTTTAATTTTAGTTTGATTTTGTAACACTGCCAACAGAATCAATGCAACAGTCCCTTCAAAAAGTGTCATTCACTTTAATAAACCTATGATGTAATTTGGTGAAAAAGAGAAAATTTTAATGAAATTTGAACATTTTTTGTGAAGAATAATGGAAATGATTTTTCGACTTTTGATCTTTTGACTTCCGAGTGTCTGTATCTAAGAAAGTAACCCAAAGCTTCAAGTTTTGACTTTTGGGATCACTGAAAAATAAGACCTTTACAAAGATAGTACATACCTCTATAAGTTGAGATTGTTTGTAGAGGTGTAGTTGATTTGTAGTGAAATATGATATTTTAAACTGTAAAATCCAAGAGAATCCAATGAAGGAATTGGAATGGATTATAATACACAGGGGATAAAATCTCAAAGATTAATGAATCATTAAATTTCTGTCCAGGTGTTTGAGAAGAAAGTGTGATATAAAAACTGAAATATGATTCTGATAAGCAATAAACAGTTTAACCAGAGACTCACATGTGTGCAAGCATTCGATTATTGTAGTCGCATCTACGAAATAGCCATTACATATTTTACAAGTAATATGCACATTGATATCAGTGATAGGTATTTTTGTGGATCCTTGCATGATCCCTCGGAAACTGCAGTATATTCTTCACATTCTGTCCCTGACAAAAGCCATACTAGAGTTGCTAGCAAGGATACCCATATTGGTAATGAGTACTTGACCTAAAAAAAAAATAAAAATCACCAAGTACTGGTATATGTTGCAGAATGACGGAAAACGAACGAAATTGGATTTAATGAACTGATATTAACTCAAAATCATTCTTTTTTTTCATAAATATTATTGTTTACCTCGAAAATTATTTGTTTGACAGACCAACCTTGAGGTGGTTTGACAGTTTATGATGAAAATGGCGTCTTAGAGAAATTCATCAGTTTCTCAATTCAGTAATGAATACATTCACAACTTTCCGCCGAGTTACATTTCCCAAATGAAGCTTTTTTCGGTAAGGTAAATATCATATCAGTTGAATCACCCAAGTCTGTCGTAAAACGTTTCTTAAAATGCCAAAAAATTAAACGCACTACTTTAAATGTTACCAACATTATAATAAAAATTAGTTTTCATTGGTCAAACCAGTGCAATTTGAATTTCTCTGTTCTTTGTCAATTGAAGCCTTTGAAAAAATTAAAGGCAAAATGAGAATGTAATTAATTGCACTCGATCAGAGTATACTGTAACTTCAGAATTTGAATAGTATTTGCTACAACCAGGAAAAAAATTAAAGCGCTTCACTATAAATGCAGCGTAAAAGCGATTTATGGATCAACTAGACGCTATGTTATCGTCAGACCCACCCCGGCTTAGGAAGAGTTGCGGAGCATGAAATGACTCATTTTATGAACAGTTTCGAATAATCCAACTACAATTGAAATCAATTATCAGTAATAATACAATCGACTTCAGTTATGATGAATTATCAAAAATAATAGAGAAACCATTTGAAGTTTCTACATTCTAATGAGTAATAATAATAAAACCAATCCACGGTTACCGTATAGATACTATAATCATAATTTCTATGATAGATACTCCGATTTTCATAAGTGGAACGCCCTCTCTGTGAAAAATCTGAACCATTTTTCCACCAGATGCCGCTAGGGGTACTTTCTCGCCAGTTATTAAAATTCGTCATTTTTAGTTTTGTAGTATGAACAATTTCCAGTTTTATTTGTAGTTTTCAGTAGTTTTCACTGCTTTATTGGAGGTAATGAACTCATAAAAATCAATACATTCCAAAATAGAAATATATATATATTTTGGAAGATAGCTTTTAGCTTTCTACTAATCCATATTGATACAGAAAATGTGGGAATCTTCCAAAGAAAGGAAGTAGAAGGCCGAAAACTCTCTTTTCACTTCTAGAAATAGAATCCTTTCAATTTAAAAATACGTATGTTCTCTGTTGCAACTTTTCTTAACTAAGCATGCCGCATCGGTGTGCGAGCCGCTTTGATTCATTTTGTTTCGATTTTGACGATAACTCCCAAGACATTATATAAAAGAAAATTATGATACGCATGAAATGCTTAAGGTAGGTTATAAATTTCATTTAATAAGGCCTTACATTGCTCAATAGCTTTCCAATGAAGATATCCGATTTCCCTATGACCTTGGAAAAATATTCTTTCCCCTGTGGGAATCACAAAATCCCTATAGAAAACCAAAATAGATGAAACTGCGATTTGAAAAAAAAACAAGCAGTATAATGACATTTTTACAAAAATATTGATGATTAACAGAAAAAAATTATAAAATAACATTTTACTTTTCGGGTGTAGGAAAAAACCCTGGCAATTAATTCCACCTTCACAAGAGAGTCTGTTCATCAAGTCTTCCTGTCTTATGAAAAATATACGGTCCGTAGTATAAACATGCCTGAGGAAGCTATTATATAGTGAAAAACGTGTTGCGGTTTTGTAAAGTGTTCCATGAAAATCCTACAATAAATTGTTACTTGAATAGGTATTTGCCAATTACATCACATAAAAATGTCCTGTATTTTTAAGTTCCGTGACTAAATTTGTGGGATGAAATATTTTCGCCATAGAAATATATGCCAATAATTCAATAATAATTTCGTCAGTATTGATGGGATAAAATTTTACAGTCCAATCTGAAAACTGTCAATCTTGGGAATCATCTATTTTCGTCTTTTCTCATGATGAAAAAAGTGGATGGATTTTTCCCGCCAATTGAAAGTGTGTATTTGCACCAATCAGAAAACTCTCGGATAATCAGATGACGGCAACCTAACAGATAATTATTCAAGAACTCGTCTAATAGTCCTAAGATATAATAGGGAATAAGCATATGTTTCAGTTTTGAAATATTTATTATTTCAACAAGTGAATCACTCCTAATGAAACTGTAAAAATTGCTGGGAATTGCAAATAAATTGAAATTTATTCACAATACAAAATTGAAACTGACGAATTTTCAGACTCGTCAAAAAACGTACCCTTGACAGTATCTGGTGGATAAATGGATCGTTACTTCCTTTAGTTCCAACCAAGATGCTTAGAAATACCATAGTGTAATCTTTGTATATAGACTATTCTATATACAAATGTGTAATCACTCTGAACTCCTTCATGTATGAAATATTTTGACAAAACCACTCGATCTATGACACTTGCTTCTTTATAAAATGAAGAGATTCAACGTACTTTGTGATCCTATTCACAGAGGCGCTAAGCGCACACCAATCCAATGTCACAGCATATTGTTAGGTATGCTGTGTCAATGCATTCATTTGGAAACGATTCCACAACTATTGTTATTCCATCTATCAACACGTGTACAAAGTTGAGTCAATTTCATTTCTCGCGTTGAGAATTTTTTTCCAAACTAATCACATCTATTAAATTAAAATATAGACTGTTCACGTTAAGAAGAGAATGACGTAATGTTTGGTAATTTTGTATATCCAACATAACAACGTTAAAATTTCCACTGAAATGCGTTCAACAGCAAAGAAACTAGTAACATTTCATTTTGTAAGTTGCTCAACTGATAGTTGAATTTCAAACGTTGCCGAATCGAAAAAAACTCGAAAACTGTCAGTCTTTCTTTTCTTTTCAGAACTAATCATTTCTTTTGATAAGACTTGCGTATATTCAATATGTCTAAAGCATTGTCGAAATAGTCCCAACAAATACTAAAAGTAAGTAAGGATACTAGCAATAAAACATATCAACAGTACAAAAAAAATTGAAAGTTCGAAATAGTGCACATGTTGGCAACGCCGTAACTTGTCATCTTGTGACGTCATTATTTTCTTAACGTAAATAACCTATATCCACAGTATTTCTGTATACAGTAGTTTCACTCAGCGTCGGTCTCTTTGATGTCGGTGTCCAGGAGTTTCATTTTTTATAATGATGACGTATTTGACACTAATGACATTTCTCCCTACTACAATCTCAACCAAAGCGTGTATACACTGCTCAACATAACAACTATTCATATAAACTGCTCAAAAAAAAACAGTCTATGAAAACCATGTTGGGCACCTGAGAGGAAGAATAATCCATTTATAGACATTCTATGCACATTCTTTCGGGAATAATTCTGCCATATTCATTCAAGCACATTCTATGAATATTCTGAAGGCATGTATATATTCCAAGAATATTCTATGAATATTTGAAATATATACCTTCGTTTTATGACATAGAGGGAATATTCCATGAATATCTGGTGCTGTGTGGGAAGTTTTCACCATCATCTGAAATGACAACCATGACATTCAAACCTATATTTTTCAGTCTGAGTATGAATTCAGCAACTATTGTATGAAAGTCTTCCATAAAGCACACATTATTAACAAAAAAATATCCCAACTGCTGCTTCCACTTCTGATTTATACTCCTGGCCGTCAACACCAATACTTCTGTGGCAAGAATGTACTGTTTTTGACAACCATCATGGAAACCAAGTATTTCATCCTAAATTATGTTATAGAAAAGATTGGTCTTTAGAGACATTTCATCAATGCATAAGATACAATCCCTACTCTCTGCACTGAGTAGCTTAACTTTGATTTCCAGAGCAGCAAAACAAAATAATTTAAACCAGCATAAATTGGTCATTTTGTAGTGATTCTAAACAAGGTACTTTTAGATGGCAGCCGAAATATTTGTTTTAAAAAATTGTACACTTTAAGGCCCAAAAAATATATTTCGAAATATTTGTTTTAAAAAATTGTACACTTTAGGGCCCAAGAAATATATAGTGAGGGCCAATAATTTGATTTCATTGTTATATCGGCACTCTATTCCAATTTTGGCAGATGAAAGCGACAACTGTGTTTCCATAAAGGTAGCTAAAACTGGTAAACACTTTTTCCTAATGAAATTTAAAACCACTTCCATTTCATTTGAATCTTGCTGATTTGATGTGGTTGGTGGACTAGACTTAGAATTGAGTTGTCTTTGAAGGAGTCTTATCTTATTTTGAAGGGGCAGTTTCCTTGGTGTGTAGGCAGACAAACTTGTGGATGTTTGAATGTAAGCATCTGAAACAAAAATATTCTCAATAAAAATCCAAAATACAAAACCGAATTCTTCAATGAGCAAATGACACATAGTGTAATTTATCATGTTGATGAAATGCATATACTGTATTATTGGGAGTGAAAGTTGCCTTCTGTGTGTCAAGCATGAAAGTGGATAGATTACTTTGCCAACCATGCCACTTAAACTCATCTCATACAGAATACCACATTTTATTTACATTTACATAGAACTATCAGTTATCAGGAATTGCTTGAATCATTCCTCTTGATAATTTGATTAATCTATTAGTTAAATAAAAATTTATGCCACATAATTTTGTCCATTAATAATGTGCCAAAATAAACAAAACTTCACTCAATCTTCACTACCATCTTCCAAAATATAAGTTGTAAAATGATTTTTTTGTCTTCACTTAGCTACCTGTGATTCCATCACACTCAAAAATATATTTTCGTGTATTGCTGATTCCATGATATTAATTTTATTGAAAAAATTAATGAAATGAATTTGAATACATATATGATACTTCTCCGAGTTGACATTTCGGATACTCAATATGTCTCAGAAACGGGGTTGGAAATATTTGTAGAAGTTTTTCATATTCTTGTACCTATTAAGTTCAGAATAAATTTGTCTTAAAAAAAAGCATGTACCTACCATCATTTATCAATAGTTATCATGACTGGTTCTTGTAGCAAATGTGGTTAAAAAATTTTTTCATTAAGACAAAAATAGAATTTTATAACAAAAACTTCTGAGTTGCCTTTATTAAACACTTATAATACATACCTGAGGTATCGGAATATTGAAGTTCAATATTTTCATAATCTATTGACGAGCTGGTGCCTGGAACAAGACTCAATAGTCTTTTGCATTTTTCGGTTGATGTATTGGCAAGAGAAACAGTTCTTGCCTTTCTGCTACTGACATTATCAGCTGTAACATCTTCATAGGTTTGCCTGCCTTGAGAGGTGCCTGCTACACTCTCAGAAATGTTCGACATCCCAGTATCATCAACAACGGGATCATCTTGAAAATAAAAAAAGGTATGGTGGAATTCATTGCTTTGCTTTCAAGAATAGAAAGTTATCTACTATTAACTACTGGACTGCATTATTCTAGATTGACTTTACCTTGCTCTGAGGGGTTTATTTCATCAGAAAAACCGGTGGGAACTGCTTCTTTTTTCAATCTGTTTTTCTGCAAATTGGCAAACATATCACTTCCAAAGTGCTTACAACAGACACGAAAACAGAAATAGCATTCTTCAGACGTGAACTCCTTCAATTTATCCACTTTCAAAATGGCCTTCCATGAAGCACACCTATGAAAAAAATCTCAGTAAAGGGTTTTTTTTCAGTTTCAGAAGATAGTTACCTTGCATCATCTTTGGGAATCCTAAAAAAACTCAATTGGGGATTTTCCCTCGAATTGCTTGAACATACTACGCAATATTTGCATTGTTTTTTGGAAACAAACTCAGCCAAAACTGTAGACATCTTGCAATTCACTATTTCGCAGAAAAAACACCCACTGCTAGCAAACGAATAAAAGTATATGCAACAAAACTTAGAACACGTGAAAACCACGAAATAAACAAAAATCACAGTATTTTATAGGTTATGATTGCATTTTGCACTGTTGCCAATGTGACAATTATCGTTATCCGACATAATATTGTAGATTTGCCAAAATGATCATTTTCGAATAAAATACGTGGAATATTTATATTTCTAAGAACCAACGTCTCATCCAGTAATATTCCAGCAATCAGAATTTTATGGAATAAGAGACCACCTTTAACATTTTTTCACGAGTTGTAAAATGATGTACCACAGTAGGTGAAACTCGACAACTATGGAAGGTTTGTATGCCTGTCTTAAACTCGTCGTTTGCGCAGACCTAAGACATCGACGCGTGGGTCTGCGCGTAGGAAAATTCAAACCACAAATAAGCCTTTATGAAATTACTGTATACAAAATACTGTGTCTATGGTAGGAGCCGCAGTCAACCCGTACCTCATTTACCCAAGGACAGTTATGTGATGTAGAAGCGTTTGGCTCGTGGGTGTATTTATCTCCGCGACGATATTCAGAAACACGTCGAAGATTCAAAGGTTAGTATATTGCATTGTATAACTTTAAATTTGTAATGAATTCCGTTATATTTTTTATTACATCAATATACTGGTTCATTGAGTCTACATCTAGATGCGAATATATTCTTTTCTTATATTTTATTTAAAAAAATATTTGGGTATCTATCCCTATCAGAAAGAATAGTTGCCCTGATTTTTCGAGGGATAGGTGCCCTTAGGGGCATCTATCCCTACATACACTGTCATTTATGATTACAGCAGAACTATGCCACGAAATTATAAAAGAAAGGAAGGAGTGCAAACTCGAGTATGTTCGTGGACCACAGTCAGCTTTCGATGAAATGGACAAGAAAACCATGGGGATAAACGAAATATCCCGACAATTTGGGATTCCATCGAGAACATTGCGAAGATGATATGTCGCTAGAAATACAACAAATTTGACCCTGGGTCAAATGGACAAGAAAACCATGGGGATAAAAGAAATATCCCGACAATTTGGGATTCCATCGAGGACATTGCGAAGATGATATGCTGCTAGAAATTCAACAAATTTGACCCTGGATATGTATCAAAGATCATGTAATACATGACACTTCAAACTTTCAATTAACTAATTGTTAAATATTGCTGGAGTTTCATCCCAACACCAAGCCGTTATTTTCAAAACCTCGACACGTGTTTCAATCACCAAGTGATCATCTTCAATGAACTACAGTTTAGTCTTCAGATCACCAAGTGATCATCTTCAAGAGGAAGACTGAACTACAGTTCAGTCTTCCTCTTAAAGATGATCACTTGGTGATCGAAACACAATGATGATTTGGTGTTGGTATAAAACTCCGGTAATATTCATTACCATACCAAAGGTTTCAAACAGTGTATCACAAGTAACTAATTGCTGCCTCTGGTTTCCGATAGATCCATTAACGTGAGCCTATTTTTAGGAAAACATCCTATTTTGTATTTTGACAACGATAAAAGGCTAGTAAACCACATTCTCGAACTTGGTGATGCAGGATTCCCACCAAATAGACAAGCCATACGCATGTTAGCTTATCAATTTGCTGAAAAGCAGGAGCTAAAACACAATTTCGACCACGAAACCGAAACGGCTGGAGGTGCATGATTCAGAAGTTTCATTGAACAAAATCCGGAGCTATCTATCAGACAAGCTGAAGGTTTATCCGTGACTAGAGCTGAAGGTCTTAGTAGAGAAGAAGTCAATGACTCCTATGATTTTTTTATCAAAGTTCTGACCCAAAATGCAAATGGATAAAATAATGTACATATCTTTATTGTGTTATTTCAATATGAAAAAAAAATAATTATGTGATGTACATGTTGAAATTCAATGTGAATGTTTCATAACAACAATTGAGAATTTATATTTTTGTTGAATAAATGCTTGTGAAATTCAATTGAAAAAACATGATCGAGTATGCATGTTGAAACTCAAGAATTTATATATTATTTGAACAAACGCTTTAAAAATTCGATTATGATCATTATTGTGATATTAGAATTATTTCCCAATGATAATAATTGGATGATTTAAAAAAAAAATTTTCATAATCATGACTCATGTTTTTTGGAGACTACCTAACATTTGGTTTGGGTTTTTTTTACCTACACGATATAAATGATATCTATCTTGGCGATTATCCTCCTCACTATTTTCATAGTGGGGCAACTATCCATACAGGTAGACATCTATCCTCAAAAACAATGTGCCACGAAAACGTATGAAATTAATATTTTTCAAATTAGATGGTTATTTCAAATAATGGGACATCTATCCCGGTTTTACCCTATATATTTAGATTGAAGTGACTTCGGTAATTTTTCAAATTCAACCTCAATCGCAACTTATTCACGGACACCGCATACAGACATTCTCAAAGAATTTGCTTCGTTTTCACACACAAAGGCATATTGGCACGAATAAAATGCCCTTTAGGACTTTTAGGGCCTTTAGGACATTTAATTCATGATGATAGTCTCCTTAGTTTTAGTTGTTTCTGTACTCTAATGAAACGAAATGGGGTGGAAAAGAAAGATCGGTGGTGTAATTGACCTGTATAATACTGTATACGAGCTAATTTAAAAAAAAGATCGTTTTTTCACGATCCTCCTAAATTATTATTCATTTTTTGTGATTGATTTGTGCCCTACAAATGGATGAGGTATGTGAACATTTTATTAGTATTATGTATTGTATTATGATATAAATTGATTTGAAATCCCTGAAAGAATCTAAATAATTTAAAAAGAATATCTGAAAAATAACAATTACATTAAGCAAAAAGAAACTGAAATTACAATGAAATAAAATACAAGCAACAACCAAAAAAAAATTATCACGATATGAAAATTGAAAAATTATTAACAAGAAGACGACTGCGGATACTAACAATCGAAACATAGTGAAGTAACTTGGTTTGAAATCTTTTAATTTTTATTTCTTGTTAATATTTTTTTAATTTTCATCTTGTGTTAATAATTCATTTTTTCTTTATTTTTTTTTGGTTGTTGCTTGTACTTTATTTCATTGTAATTTCAGTTCAGTTTTTTGCTTGATATAATTTTTATTTTTCAGCTAATCTTTCTACAGATCCTTCAAGGGATCTCAAATCAATTTATATCATATAAGACAATGGAAGTCCAAACTAATGAAATGTACCAGAAAAGATTGTCAAGCACCTTCAAACAAACGAGGTATGGGAATTTTTGATTTTGGTTTACTTTCAAATACTGCTGTCGAAATTTCTCCATTTCTCAACAACTGTTTGTATTTCGTTAATAGAAATTGGTTTCGAGAACTAAAATCAGCGAAATAATGCCAATTTAAGCTTCAATTAAACGTCGAATATTTATTGAAAAATTTGCACGTCAATTGAACATGAAATCACTGCAAATTCTCAATTTTGAAAATTTTGATTGTATCAAAAAACTCATATAACTTTTTTCAAAAATTTTGTGATCTGAAGATGATAGTGAAGGAACTGGATAATTCATGAATGACAATGGAAAGTCGATACTACTTTTCATTCACGATATGAACGTGTTTGTTGATACTCATTGTATTTTCCAGTTTTGTAATAATTTAGATTTTGATATATCTCTACATATTTTCAATCACATCTATATAAGAAAAACTGAAGACATGGGTGTTTTCATCAGTATAATTTGATAACAAATCCGGAAGAAATAATCATGGTGTGATATAAATGGCGAGCTGTTGGAATAAATATATTATAGGAATGAAATGAGTATTAATATTGCAGACATAAAATCCAAACAGAATATTCCAAAAATTTTGAAATGATTAATAATATAACCCAAGTTCAATGAATGATATCTTTTTCATGTGTTTTGTATTTTCTAATAACATTTGCATTACTTTTTCTGAATGAAAAAATGCAAATCTTGGTTGATAAACGACTTGAAGATAATGATAAATCTGTGAAAATTCTCATGTTACGATACGCCTGAAACTGATGAAATTTCACAATCCCTTCGAATGGGTGATAAATCTGAAAGTTATTGGGCTATAAAAGTTTTCTACGAAATTCTGTCGGCATTATATAGTTGGAAAGTTGATACCACCATTGTTATCTTTTGTGCCACCAAGCCACGTATTAATGTCACCATAAAAACCGATACAACTGAAAGTCCACATAAGTCATCATAAAAAACTCTGAGGAGTCCATAAGTACGAATACATTCACTTCGATTAAATGAATTATTTCCATGGGAAGGAAATTATAGTTTCCATTTATTTGCTTGAAAGTCAAGTATTAAATAAGTTATTTGCTTGAAAGTCAAGTATTAAATAAGAATCATGTTAACGATATTATCTTTTGGAGATTTGATGTTAACTGAGATCAAGGAATTAAAAATCGTGTTCATCAACTTTCGATGGAGCCATGCGTATTTTATATAATAATAATGAAACGTCTTCATTCACCTAGTAAGTAAGAACATACAGAATATACAAAAAATATTGAGGTGAATGGTCGGAATGTCAGCAAAGCTGTTTTTAAACTCAACCTTCAAGAAAAAAATTTGAAATTTGAAAAGAATAAAAGAAAATTACAGTACATACATGAATGATTATTAATTATTATTCAGTCACCAAATCTTCTGTGTAAACGCATGAGCCACGGTCAGCATGAGGAAAGTGAAATACTCAAATAAATGCTCTTTGAGTCTTTTTTTTTAAGTTTTCCAACATGTAGGATCTTAATTCACTGGGCAGGAGATTGTAGAATTCAGCTATGTTGTATGAGAAACTGCGAGTAAAAACAGAAGACCTGTTTTCAGGAACCGACCTGTTCCTAGGGAAAAAGCTGTTGATATTTGAGAAAGACTTCAATTTCTTTATTAAATAATGTGGCATTCCGGTCTTCAAGACTTTGTGGGTGATTGTGAGAAGGAGCAGTGTTCTGAGTTTCTCTAGTTGCAGCCAACCTGATTCCTCCATGACCGGTAATATGTGGTCGTATTTCCGAATGCCAAAAGAAAAACCAAGGCAACTGTTTTGGATTCGTTGAAGACGGAGAGAATCAGATTGCAGGGCCATAAATGCTATCGCAATATGACCCTTTCGAAATGATTAGCGCC